ATATATATGTTTATTTACTTTTTATTAATAACTGTTATAAGAAGGTAACAAAGGTTGTTGAATTATATTATTTTATTCTTAAAATAAATAATAAATATTTTTCTTGTAATAAAAGTTTGCTAAACAATAAATAAATAAGTTATAAAAAAAAATTTTTAACATAAAATTATACTTTTATTGACAACACATATATTCCATTCATAAGATTAAAAATATGACTTGGGAATATCTTTTACAAATTATTAGGGGTTGAGCTGAGCTTGACAAACCTTTTTAAAATTATAAGATCTTGGATGCTTCCTAATATTGCGAGCTTGAACTTGGCATGACATCTATCGTAAAAAATGAATAAAAATCTCATTCACCGTCATTTTTAACGGGCTTTCTACTAGTTTAAAATAAAATTATTAAAAAATATATTTATTATAATCGTATACGTACAAATTATTCATTTAAAAAAATAAAATAAAATTATATAATAACAGATAATGAATATATGAACGTATAAATAAAGTTTATATTAAAATAGGTCAAAAGGAATATGTATGAAAAATTTTAAGAAAAATACAATGAAGACCCGAGGATGAGATACAGCGAGGAAAAAAAATAGAAAGTAGAAAGGCTCTAGGATAGCTATTTGGCTAGCTAGACTACCATCATTGAAGCTAATGTAATTGGCTTTAAGGATTGCTATGGCAAGCCTTTGTCGAAGAAAAAATCTCTCTTGAGGTTCTTCTGAGTGATTGCTGATTTGATATCCTAAATTTTTGAAAAAGCTAAGACAAGTTGGCCGAAGGTAACCAGTGTGGTAAAAATGATCGGAATGAAACGATGGTCATTAGTAATTTTTGTGTATTTCGAAGTTTTAAGCTGTTCCTTCTGTACGATGATGTTGAGGGGTTGGTTTGATGGGGCAAGGGGGTTAAAACAAGAATAGTCTCATACCAATAATTGACCTCTCCTCCACGGAATTTGAGTGATCCCGTCAGGTCGTTTGCCATCAGATCTAAAAAGACCCTGGGGATCATGGATGGGATTTGAGCTGATTTCAAGACATTTTGGGTGATTGAATTACATTGCCTGTGTCTGATGAATCGTCTATCGCAGGAGCGACAATTTAAACCATGTCTTCCATTCGTGTCAACGGGCGATTTACAACCTGAACAGATGTGAGGATGGGTGATTGAGTAATTTAGACGAATACCGATGGTGTGGGTAAGTTCGTTGTTGGAAAGTTGAAGTTGAAGATTGACAGAATGAATGGCTTCGAGAAACTCATACCCAGTACCATTTGAGCAGGGAAGAGAATAGGGTACGGTCAGTTAATTGCATGGGAGATAAGAGAGTTTCAACGCAGCGAGCAACTACCGGAGCATCCCAGTCCTTATGTCTATGGGTTGTGGGGGGATGAGAATCAACATGATCCGAGTTTCCAAGTATTTATGGCCTCAATTAAGAAAGGGTCTTCTTTTGTATTATGGGAGTTGGTTATTTTCTTTGACAAGAGACTATTCGATATAAAAGAGGTTATTGCTATGTCATAAGGAGATCTAATGCCAAGTCCACCGGATTTGGTAGGGAGCGAAGCTTAGGCCCAAGCGGTTTCGTTGAATCTTAGATTTATTATTTGGTTAGGTCTTTTATTCCTTTTTTATATGTTTTTCGTGGAGAAGGATATTTAAAAATGGGTGTTTAGCAAAGTAAGTAAAAGAGAATTTTAATCATTCTTCTTCATTATTAAAATTTTGCAGGAGAGAGGATCAGTCACTGAGAGATTTGGCTACTTGTATTCTCGGATACTTTGCTTTGTTTTAATGAGAAAATTTTTGTGAGAAATAAATATTAGAGACTTGGTCTGAAGGTGGTTCCATGAATGGGTTGGGAAGTGAGTAAGCGATTTGGGAAAGAGGTGTTGGGGACCCCTGTTGGAGATTGGTCCATGAACATAAAAAACACTTTCATTTGTTACATGTATAAGTTTCCGGCAGGTAGGACATATTTTGGGTTGAGGTAGCCATTGTTATTTTGTCATTACACTATTGATTTAAAAAAATTTAAACATTTTTCTTTTGTGTTGAATTATCCGAAAATAAGAAATATGGTGTCGATGATAAGAAAAATGTCTTCGAAAATAAGAATTATGGAATATATATGGCCATATTTTTTAAAAAAATGGCCGCGATCCTGCGCAGTAATAAATCACTTGATCTGCGTGCTGAATAATGAAAATGTCTCTATATGTCAGATTACCATAAGAAATGCCTTTTGTGTTGAACTATTGAGAAATAATTCAAAAATAATAAATATGGCATCGTGAATAAGAAATATGGCGTCGGAAATATGACGTTGAGAATAAGAAATAAGGCGTCAAGTAAAAGAAATAAATACTTTTTTACATTATATATAATATCTATAAAAATTATTTTGGTAATTAAAAATTAAAGAGAAAAAAGCTTTTAAAATTAAAATTAATTTGCTTTTAATGGTAGTAAAAAGTAAAGAAGTAAAATCTGAATAGAATAAGTTTCTTATAAAATAATAATATAAAAATCAGGGAAGTTAACCTAAACTAGGACCCAGACCCGGAACCCTCGTATTTTGGCTGTACCCTAACCCGGACCTTTTTTAAAAGGGGAGGGTCCAAGGGTTCAAGGTATCATAAAAAAAAATTTAAAAATACTTTTTTTCGTAGAATCATTTATTTTATCTTCGCGTTTTTCTTTCAATTTTCTTCCTAGATTAATACCATAAATTATTTTCTAGTATAGGTAATAATATTTTATTATGTAAATTTATTAATATGCTATGCTATAAGAAATACGTTGATTATTTTGAAAGTGAAATATTTTGTAGTGCAAATATTAGTATTTTAATTTAAATGATAATGCACAACACGTTGGTTCTCAATTTGTATGATGTTAGAACGATTATTAAGTTTGAAATAATTCTGTAATGATTTTATTAGGAACATTATGAAGTCATTTTGTCGGAAGATGATTTGTGCGTTGTGCCAAATCAAGGAGTAGTGTTTTAGTTCCTTTAAAAATAATATTAAGATTACAATCAGAACAATTATGTTTATCTGATTTTTAGGGCATATGGATTAGAAGCCGATTAGATTTAGAAAAATTTATAGTCCTATTTTATACCAAATATTAGAAAACATGAAAATTCAAGAGCAACAATATTTGCAAAATAAATAGTATTGTATACGCTTCTCTAAATATAGTCCCTCGATATCAAGTTGCATTGAGTATTGAGAAAAAACAAATGGCTAAAACCATCTTAAGGATTTATGGCATAAGCAAAACTCCTACTATTTTCAATATATTGGTGGTATGACAATACCTACTGTTGTAGCAATAATAATGATAATTATAGCAACATTGATGATCTTGAAATTTTACTTTTAGATAAAGAAAAAAAATCAAATTATCATTAGATAGAAAGGAGGATCATAAAATGCCTATTTCATCTTTAATAGAAAAGTTCTCAGAAGTTAAGAGAATAAATAAGGATACAAATATTTTAAAATTCTTCAATATATCCAGAATTATATATCTTATCTAGAATCGTCATAGGATACCCGCGACACAAGTACAATGATTTTCGTATTAAAAAGATAACTCCCTATTTTAGGAGCAGAACATTGGATTTTCATTTTTGAAATATATATTGTCTAATTTACGTGGAAATCTCAAGGATGATATTTTTGAAGATATTATGATTGTGCGATTGAATTAAAATATTGTGTATGTATTGAAGTGTAATAATAAATGAATGAAAAAGAAATCTTATTTTGAGTCATTTTTCTTATGTTCCCTGAACCCGGACCCTTTTTAAATTTTATTCCTGTACCCCAACCCGGACCCTTTTTTTTGTGGAAGGGCTCACATCCCTGATAAAAATAAATAATGAATGCGCGATATAAAATTTCAACTTATTACTATTCAATAAAATATATGAACCACAGGGTCTTTTTAGATCTGACGGTAAACGTCCTGACGGGATCTCTCAAATCCCATGGAGGAGAGGCCAACTTTTGGTATGGGACTATTCCTGTATTGACCCCTTGGCCCCATCCAACCACGCCATCAACATCCTTGACCAGAAGGAACAACTTAAAACTTCTAAATACACAAAAATAATGAACGATCATTGCTTCATCCCAATCATATCAACCACTCTTGGCACCTTCGGCAAACTCGCCTTAACATTTTTCAAAAACTTAGGATCACAAATCAGCAAACTCTCAGAAGAACCTCGAGAGGGTTTTTTTCTTCATCAACGATTATCCATAGCGATTCTCAAAGCTAATTATATCAGTTTCAATGGTAGTCTTCTAGCCAAAGAGCTATCCTAGACAACACTTACGTCCCTTTTTCATTTTTGTTTCCCTGCGTCACACCATCTCCGTTCTTTTTTTTAATAGTATTATTATATATTTTTCAAACATTTTTAAATATATTAAAACATAAAATATTATATTTTCGTTTTTTTAAATACTTTATATTATTTATTATTTGAAAATCAATATTTTAATTTATAAATATTCCTATTATATAACAATAATATTGAGATGATTAAATTTTCTCTTTAGATATTCTTCCATAAATTTTGGATAAAAAAGGCATTGAATATTAACTTTCGATTTGCAGATTCCGGAATATTGAAATTTATAATTGTGAATACTCAATAAAAATTTGATTAGATGTTTATGCCTCTTCGCTTTTCTTAAGAACTATCTTTGAGTCTTTACTCTTTAAGACTATTAGTATTGATTGGTTTAATTAACGGTAATATATATTGATTTTATTAATTTATACGCCTTCGGGTATCGTAAAATTAAAATATATAGTGTATAACTAAATTCATATAATTTTGTTCAATTAATTTAGTCAAATATTTAAGATCATAACAATTTCTGCTTCCTATTAAAATAAAATGTGCCTTGTAAATAAAATAACATTTGATTCTATTTAAGTCTTAACATAAATACAAATCAATTTAAATATCGGATCGGGTTTGTGTGAATATTGGATTATTGAAAAATTGGTCGATAAACTCGGATAAACAATAACGCGTAAAACATATCTTTATTCTCCTTCCCCTCAATAGAAAAATTTACATTTTACATAAGTCCCCCAAATAATTTATCGAATTTTATAAATCAAACGAATACTTTACATAGTAAATAAATAAATGACATAAAAAAATTATGATTATAATTACAAAAATGACAAGTCGATACAATTATAAAAAAATATATATAAAGGAATCCCTAATAATGTTTATAAAAAAAATATATAAATTAATTAATTTGATACGAGCAAGTTACAATTTTTATACATTTATTTTTTTATATATATAAAACCTAAGAAATTATATAAATTAATATATATATGAGAGATAAAAATATTATGGTACATATCACAAATAATTAAACTATATATATATATATATGAATGTAAATGGTATTAGATCTTAGGGGATTTAGTTAACGAGTATGTTCAAATTCGCATTTTATTGTGCAAAAACCATATGGATATCGTTTTAATAGTTGACTCGGCTGACAATTATTAGATTAATTAGCTTGTAAACCGTTATAAGTAATGGGAGCTTGATGCCATGATCCAAATAGCTTGTCGATAGCTAACAACGTAAATGTAATATATTAAATAAAGTATTTTAAAAAAATATATAATTATATGAGACGCGCGAAAAATTTTATTTAAAAATATTCAATCCCTATGTTTTAGGAATATTTTTAGTAAATAATACAAAGTAGTTTTTGAGTAGCAATTAAGTAGTGTGGTGTCAACACAAAATCCTTATATGGACATAGACTGTGTTAAGAAATGTTTAAAGTTCACACAATTTATTTTTAAAAATAGAACATGATCCACATGTTATGCGAAATTTCTCATTACAACGTTAAAATATATCATTTCATATCAAGATGTGTTTTTAGAATTAGTAGTTACTAGGGCTGTGTACCAATTTTTGGCGTTTTCAAGATACTTAATAAATTAATGACAGGAACTAAGAATTTTATTAGTTGTAAATAGTGTTGTTAAACGGCTCGTTTTGAATCGATATTTAAAAACGGCTAACTCAATATTTCATCCATAAAAATATTATGCATGCCTGAAGATTTTGTTCATAGAAGGAACAAAGGTCTAGAAATATATTACCGGAGGAATAGCCAATATTTTTCTAGCTAAAATATTGAGTAAGCCGTTCTTAAAAATCGGCTCAACCGTTTAACAACATTAGTTGTAAATATAAAAGAGTTATTAACACTATTTTTTGTTATATTATCTGAAGAAAAGGATTTCAAAATATCTAAACGATATTCAGCAAGTGTTGTTGAGCGGTATGATTAATCAATTTTTAAAAAACGGTTAATTAAGACTTTGGCCAAAAGTATATTACTCAAGCTTATTGATTGCAAAATTTCGAGCGTTAGGTAAATAAAATTTTGGTTAAAATCTTGATTTTGACTCTTTTAAAAATCGGGTATGGAGATTTCAATAACACTACATTCACCTATAAACATTTTAAATATCTAATATGAAATTATTAACTTTTGGAGGATGAAAAAAACAAAATACATTTAATCATTCGTGAAAGGTTAATTTATTATTTTTTTAAATAGAAAATATTTATGGATCGCATAGCCCTAGTAGTGGCACTACCAGATTATCACTGAGCATCGGCAAAAATAGGCATGGAAAACAATGTTTATATGGAACTAATCTCAAACAAATACAAGTGAATGTTATTTATTGTGGTGAATTACCTGTTTTTTCGGATTCGTCATTAAATATGTGATTTTTGGGAGGGAATACAACATCGAAGGTTATGTGTAATACGCCGAATTTGTTGTTGTTATCGTAATTGGGCATCCCCTCCCTGGGTATCTTCATTTTGTCGCCTGGTTTGGTAACGGTATCACGTTTGACTTTTACCTATATATATTAGATTTAAAAGTTTCGTAAATAACTAGACCCATGACAAATTAAGCGAAATGAACAAAATTTGTTAAGTATCATATAGGAAACAGCTACGAAATTCAAGCTTAATTTTCCGGCTAGACATAATGTTTTAGAGCGAAAACCCAGTTTACAGCAAGTAAAATTAGCCATTTAATTTTGTGATAGTCATTGGAAGAATAGTCAAAACAATGAATTAATCAATTTTCTGTAAAAAATTTCAAAAATTGCCTATATTTTTTAATTTTCATATTGGTCGATTAACAACAAAAAAATGAGGGTCCAGGTGAGAAAAAAGAGTCCGGGTTATAAGGGTTTGGGATGGCATAAAAATATTGACTCAATATTAATAAAATAATATATATCTTTTAATATTCTACTCGATGTAGACATAATTTACTAGCAGGAAATTGTAAAAATCAATTTACAATTCATTTATATTTTTTATATTATTAAACACATAGGTGTTTTTAACAAAACAAAATCAAACATGCCAAAACTATTAACAAAATTTACATTGACATAATTGCATTAAATTATTAAAAACGGAATATAAGGGAAATATTGGATTTTATTTTCCTATCTTTAAAACCAACCCTCAACTTTTGAAAAGGAATCGGGATCTGGTGCATCACACGAGGATTCGGATTCAGGGTCAGTGGTTCATATCCGTGGAAAAAAATCAATTTTATCTGATGTATAATCTCAGAGACCTAAAAATTTATTTTTAAAAAAAGCCCTGGCATTAACCGTAAAAATTAAAATATATTTTTAAAAACTCCAAATTGCGCTGGAAAAAATATAAAACCAGAACTAGGCTGAAAATTTTCTTTTTTTTAAAAAAAATGCCGGACTATATCGGTACCTCTGCAGATCTCTAATAGATCTTTTAATTTTCTTTTGTAATTCACGTGATCTTTTTCAAGAGGATGATATAATTAATTTTACCTTATGACCATCTAAATGTTCGATATCCATAGAAAACCCCAAGAGCGCGTTAACTAATGAGATCGTAATATTGCAGAATAGATCGTCTCCCCTTCTTTCGAAAAATTTGTGCCTGTTAAATATAAATGAATTATTCACAATTTTTTTTAAAAATGTTTCTGCAGTTTTTAGTAAATCTTTAATTGAATGATAAATGCTAAGAAAAATTGGTTATTTTCAAAAAAAAGAGAGCTAGAATGCTGAAATTCTAACATTGCCTTAGTTACATGTACATTAGTTTACCCAAATTCTAAGAGGTTCTTTATCAACTTAATGAAATATATGATTATCTATAAAAGGTTTATACGAACTTGGTTTCTCTTATCTTGAAAATCAAATCTCCAGGTTCTCCTTCAATGTGCGGCTCACCTATGTGTGCATGAATACATAAATATTAAAAATAAACTAAAACACATTTCTGATAAAAGATTTTATCTTTTATTGCTGTTTTGTTTGTTCATTTAAAAAAAATAATACAAAAAATTGAATAACCTTCTCCAAAAAATGTATATTCATATCTGTCAGCGACACCTTTTTCGATCTCGACTTCTAAGAGTTTTTCTTCATTCACGATCCTTAACATTCACAATATACAGATAAAAAAAATTAAACTGTAAAATATCGATTAAATTATTATATTCCTAGAAAATACTATAACCTAGAGGTCTGCAATGCCCAGTTTTAATTTGGGCCTGACTGGACAAAAATTTTATTGGGTTGGATTAAATGGATTCTGATATTTGATAGAGGTGATACTACAATAAAGTATTAACCAATCCCCAATTACGTATTTTGGCGCTATACTACATATTTTTTGGGTTAGGCTTTGACTTAAAAAAATGGTAAAAAAATAGGATATGGTCCAGGTACAAATTTGGCAATGCAAAAGCCAAACTCCAACTGGGCCAGAAAAATTTGCCATTAACAGACTTCTACTACAACATACTTCCTGATGGTTTTCGTATTTGTATGTATTTTCAAAATTTCAAAAATTTACTCATTAAAATTCTTATTTATAAGATATATTTTAAATATAAAAAGATAATAAAATTGAAATTTTATTCTTAATTTTTTAGTAAAATTTATGCCTACTGATCCAAAAAGAAATGATCATTTTAAAAAAGATAAAACACTTTAATATTATATAATTTAAAAAAAATATATATATTAATATTATGAGAGGTCTATTATAATGCAGGGTCCCACAGTGTCAAAGTTTTAGAAGACCTCGCAATTTACTTTGATGATTTCATTATGAACTTATCTTTATTTTTTTTATCATTTCTATCCAACCCTACCCCTCCCCATTTTTTGCATGCCAATCAGCATTATACTTTATACACTTCTCCTTTTCTTAGCCTCTTGGGGCCAATTTGCCCTCTAAACATTTCTCCACCAGGTTCGGAAATTATTCAGAAGGCCAATCTGGAATGGTTTGCACAATAACTATACCATTTTAGGATAGTTTATTTTAAAAATTATTACCTTGGTCCCCAAAAATTTCTGAACTGGTGTCCTCTAATTGATTATTATCTCAAATTATATTTAGATTGGATGCAAACGATAAAACTTTGTATCAACCAACAAATCAGGGTAAGATCTTAGAAAGCAAATTATAGAAAAGATCAAGTATTTAAAAAAATATTTCAAAAATGTCATGCATGCCAGCATGTTCAAAAATCATGTGATATCTTACCATCAATGACAATATATTATATAGTACAGAAATCTTACTTGACATTAGGACAGTCATCACAAATTTCAACCTGATTCATTTGAAATCTACCAGGTCCTAATTGCTTTGTTACCATTTCTGCCCTACAATTACATTTTCTTGTTCCAGAAGTTGGTTTATAAACTGGTTTGAATCTTACAACCTATTTTAAAATAAAAAATCTATACAATAAATAAAATTGTAAAATTAAGATTTAGACTATCAAAGAAATTTTTAGTTTACTTCAACAAAAAGTTCATTGTATATCTCTTCCAGAGTGGCATATAAATCAATAACAACATTTGCCCCTTTAAATTCTCTTTGAGTTGTTCCTTCTTCTTGATGAAAGAACCCTCCAAAAAACCTTACATATATTTTTAACAATTTTAAGGAAATTTTTTTTACGATGAAAATATATCATTTGCATGAAACATATCTTGACCTCCTGATTTCAATGGATCCCCTCCTTTGTCATATATTGCACGTTTGCCCTTATCTGAAAGAACCTTTTAAATGTATTTATAATATATATATACATACAAAGCTCATTAGTATATTATTATAAGAAATATATATCATAATTTCAAAACTTCATATGCTGTTGTCAGCTTTTTAAATTTTTCAGATGCATCTGGATCATTTTTATTTTTGTCTGGGTGTAATGTTTTTGCTAAATTCCTATAAGCTTTTTTAATTTTATTAATATTTGCATCTTTTGGTACATTTAAAGTTGCATAATAGTTACTACAATGTTAAATATTTATAAGTCTCATTAAAATTCATACTCTCTATCACAAATTAGGATACCAAATTGTAGAATTATAACTCCGGATATCAGAAAAAAGTTGCTTATTAACATATCCCTTGTTGTAAATGCAGTTAGTAGCAACTTACACGTGTGGAACACAATGGATGCCTGTTATTTTCCTAAGATTTCGAATAGAATTAAAATTTAAAAAATCGATGAAAGTTAGAAACTTTCAAATTCATGGTCACCATCCAGGTTCAGGGCTACCAATTATATCACCTACAGATCCTCCTCCATTCAGTACCTCTACTGACTCACCTCCATGCAGAGCCGTAGCCAGGAGTTTTCGGATAGGGGGCTACCTGCTTATTTGAGGGGGCCACTATTTTTTTAAAATAAAACATAATTAAACATTCATAGAAATTTTTTGCTATTTATATTAAAAATTTATTAATGTAATATGAATACAAAATAATACTATAATAATGAATATATAAAATAATACTCGATTTAAAGAATAAATGTGTGTTATTTTTTTCATAAGCCATCAATATTAAATTTTGTTTACGTTCATCTTCCCTCTCTAGTGCTTGAAAAAACTCTCTTTATTGTAGAGGAGGCCACACAAGAAGCCGTTGGTACCCTAATGATGATGGCTGCTGAGTAGCATTTATACAATGCTTTGAATGCATGATGATATTATCTTTTACATATAGGATATTTTCAAAATTATTTGTTTCTTTAACTTCTGGTAATAATCATTTAGCTATTTTTATTTCATGATTTAACTTTTACATATTTAAGTTTAATAATGATTCTAATAGGGCCATTTTATCCGATATAAAATAATCAGGGTCAGAGGGGGACAATGTATTAAAACATGATAGAAGATTATAAACATCTTGTGTAAATCTATCTAAAAATGATCAACACAAAGTAATCAATAATTTCATAATAATTCCTTTTTAAAGAATTCCAAATGGAGTCTTTTTTACAATCAAATTGTAATTTGGTCTCGACTAAAAATCTTGAAAATTTATAGGCGTTTTACGTACCCTTGATGATTTGTGGAGAGTGAAATTAAATTTTGCTAAAAGTTTCTCAGCCTTAATTCTAATCAACAAAAGAATTATCGCTTCTTTTATTATTTATATAATGATAGTGGATTCAATACAATTTTTAGCATGAACTAGATTAGTACCTACTGACCGTAGATACTTATTTAGTGGATTGTTATTATATTTCATAAATAATGGCTAATATAAAATAATTTATATTAACGCAATGAGAAAAAGGACCAACTTCGACTGAATCATTAGTGGTAACTCTGAATTAAGTTTTCTATTTGAAAAGTATAATAATACTTCATCAATAGCCTCAAAGTTCTTATAAATGATGCGATATGATTTAAATGACTAGTCTACCTCTGGAATAAAAGTCTCTTCAGATATGACTTGTATATTTACAGGATACTTTACAATGCATTAAATAAATTTAAAAAATTAGAAATGATAATAATATCATACCAATTTTGAACCACAATATGCAACTTGTGATTGTAGCATATAAAAGGAACTTATTTATTTATTTTTTTTAAGGATTTGCACTCCTCCATTTTAATCAGACATGACGTTTGCACCATCATATATCTGGCTTATTATATTCATTGAATTAATATTTAACTCGTTAAGATGCTTTAAAATGCAATCAGTAATGCTTACAGTAGTAAGACACTGAAAATTAAGGAAGATAATAGACTTACGTCAAATGGCGTATTAGCACGAATATAAGCTATATTTTTTCTTATTTATACGCATTTTCCGAATCGATAAAAAGTTATGAAGTTAAATAAACGAACGAAGTTAAATAAACGAAGTTAATTCGCCAATATTTTTTGATGATGTTCGCAATAGTTCTTAGTTCTTACCAAAGGTATATTGTTGATATAGAAAAATTTACAAACCTTTTTAATTAGATAATAAAAAAATCTTCTTTACACCTTTTGAAGGATCTTCAAGTGACCTAGTAGAGGTAGACTTTGTAAAGTTAAAAAATTGTAATTATTTACAGTTAATTGTAATTCTTAAAAATCATGATTAATTTACTTTTTTTAAAATATTTAAAGCCATAAGATGACACATTCAAAATCATTCAACATTCATTTAAACATTTTTATAATCCAACCAGAGTTGTACATTTGCTCAAAATAAAAATCGTAAAATTTGAAGATCTTTTATTTATAAAAAAATTTGAGCGATCTTTGAAGATCGTAAAATTTGAAGATCTTTTATTTATAAAAAAATTTGAGCAACGATCTTAAAAGATCTAGATCTTTGAAGATCGTAAAATTTAAAGATCTTTTATTTTTTTAAAATTTTGTGTAACGATCTTGAAAGATCTTCATGATATTTCTTTTTTTACCCCTTTATTAAAAGCCCAGATGTTTTTCAATTTTATTAATATAATATTTCTTTTATGTTTTATACCTCACCTCCTGCCTTGATGAAAATTGAAAAACATCTGGGCTTTTAATAAAGGGGTAAAAAAATAAATATCATGAACGTTGATCCCCGCGATCTGAAGATCGTTACACAAAATTTTTAAAAGATAAAAGATCTTCAAATTTTATGATCTTCAAAGATCTAGATCTTTTAAGATCGTTGCTCAAATTTTTTTATAAATAAAAGATCTTCAAATTTTACGATCTTCAAAGATCTTGCTCAAATTTTTGAGCTAGATCTCGCTCAAAAATCTTCAAAGAAGATCTTTTGTACAACTCTGAATCCAACTACCAATATTTAGAGAAAATATGCTTCTAAAATTTAGTGTCAGTAAAAAAGAAAGTCCCCCAAAATATAGGAAACAATTGAACTAGATGGGATTTGTTTTTACTGTTAATTTAAAAATCATAAAAAAAATTGCCTGATTATATAGGTTAATATTTTATAAATTATAGTTGTATTTTTTTATACTAATATTCGTAGGATATGGTTTTGTTTCTTTCTTTACCTTAAATTTTAATGATTATATCCTATATTAATTCAGAACATTATTTTTTTTAAAGCATTATTGATTTTTAGATAGTAACATTTTATTTTTTTTAAAAAATAATTAGATCTATAAGTATGGAGATTACAGGAAAACAAGACTCCTATGGTTTGATTAGATCACATATGGTCTTGCTGATGCTGCAAAAAAAATAATTTAGATTATGCCTAATATCAAAATATATGTGAAGATGATGTACAACAGTATATAATAGAAAAGGTAAATAAGAATGTTGAACGGGTAATGATGCAAAGTTTTGCCACATTTCTCAATACCCCGATTATGGTGTATGCTAACTCTGGAGCTTTATTTTGTTGGCAAATGTATCCGCTATTTAAATATGATGATGGAAATATAAAAAACATTTATATTAACAATTCTGGATCCCATTGTTAATGTTATTGATTTTGAAGATTAATTACAAATGTTGATAATTTTCTAAAAGTATTTTAGATGATTGTATTTGTCTAGATTTTATGCATATTTCTTTTTATTTATCCTATTTTAAGCATATTATAAATAAATATATAGAATAAAGAAATCTTTTTTAATCATACCATTTTTATATATATTTCATTACAACACCATATAATTGTTGTAAATTGCAATGTTTTTTTTTAATTTTTAGTTGAAATGTCAATCATTTAACTTTGATTTTTTTTTAGTTATCATTTTTATTTTCGTTTTTTTTGAAAAATGATTTTTATTCACCATTAATTTTTTATATGATAACTGATAAAACCATTTTTTTGATTATTAGTTTTTTCGATAATAAAATTTATAAAACCATTTTTTGATGATTTAAATTTTTAAGGTAAAAGTTATAAAACCATTTTTTCATCATTATATTTTTATGTTTATGTGTTTAAAATAAAAAGTTACGATTTAATAGTCCACAAATTTAGTAGTATTGACGTTTCCTGTTATTTAGATTTTTGATTTTCAGTAAGTTTTATTTATATTTTATATCTTGTTAGTTTTACAGCTTTATTTTGATAATAATCACACCATTTATTATGTTTACTTTAGATTAATTTGTATTGCTTGTACAATTTTTCCCAAATTCTAAAAATAAAATGGAAAATTTTTTAAAATCTGAATTAATCTTTTTTTTTAAATTATCAACTCAAAAATGACTATATTAAAAATTTAATATATATAACATGAATATCATTTTTTTAAATGGAAAAAATTACCACCAAATAAGTTTTAATAAAATGTTAAAATTCATAATGAATATTTTAATGGCAAAAATTTTGCCAAAATACATAATTTGACCATTTTGAAGTAATTCTAGAAACCCTGAAGAACCATAAGAAAATATAAGAAGTCTTTTAGAAATTGGTATAAATATTTTCCAAATGGTTCATAAGTTTTTAAAATTATATTAATTTAGGTAAATTAATTAAGAAGATTATAGGAGCTCATTAAGAGTAATTTATTTTTCTAAACTCTCTTTATTAAAAAAAAATATCAAAAGATATAATTTGTAAATTTCAACATAAATTCAATAAAAAAAATATATATATAAAATGAGCAATTGTTTGTAGATTTGAAGCTTGCTAGGGATTGTTGTGTGTCAATTTTATAGAATAAGTCATCACAAGGTAAGAACTTTAATGTTTCCAAGTAACCTTTAAAATAAGACTTTCAATATAATTTAAAATGTATTTCTTTATATTTATTATTTTCTCAATCATTCTAAATTTCCTAAATCATTGCCATCTTATTTTTACTTTATATATCAAAAATAAACAACTATAATTACTTGGAGTGACCAAAATTTAAAAAATGATATATAACATTACTTAAAAGATGGCAATAAATTCTGAGGTAATTGAATTTCGTGATATTATTTATATATCCATTTTCTTGACCACTTCGTAACTTTTTATCTTAGGAAAATGCGTATAAATAAGAAAAAATATAGCTTTTATTTCTTGCTAATATGCCATTTGGCGTTCCCTAAAATTAATAATTCCTTAAGAATTTTCATGAATTTCTCCAAAAGGTTTTCTCATACTGATGCATATTTTGCCTCATCAGCCTTAAGATAAAAAAAAAGGCATTCATTTTGTTATATTTATCTGAGATATTTCAAGCACCTATCTTCCATAATAGATTTTAATACCTTTTGAATATGGGTTGATGTATATTGGGCATTTTTGGGTTATTTAATCCATGATCATTTTGAATGGCCTATGAAACATTGCTATAAATAGTCCAGAAGAATAAATTATGTTTTTATCCTTTGCAGCACCCATAATTTTTGTTGAACCGATTTCACGAAAAGATAGCTTAGCTACTGTATGCCAAAAAATAGCATCAAATCAAATATTGATTTATGATAGTAAAGATTATGTTATCATTTTATTTTTAAAAAACTTCAATGCAAATGCACAGTTATAAAAATAAAACAAAACTTCGGCCCTGCTTCCATATCAAAAAACACCTAACCTATAATAATTGTTTAATGAATTTTTATCACTACATAACTAACCAACCATATCCCATATACCTCGGGGTGCAGGTAATTTTTTCGCGGAATTCTTCAACAAATTAATTCATTTACTCTAAACAATCCGGGTAACATTTCAGTAGGAAAAATTTACTAAGATACACCAATTTCACCCTTAAAATAGCCAACAATAAATTTTCATATAATCCAAATATATTAAAACTTCAATATCCTTTTTCAATCCAGATATCATACCAATCTCTTCACCCACATTTACCAATCTAACCCACGCATTAACATAATCTCACCCATTCGTGCCATGACTACTGAAGACTCCTTAACTCCCAACAACGCGTCCACCCTAAAAGCTATGTTTCAAAAACACCTAATATGTGACTCAGAATTTGTCTATTCCAATCAAAACAATAATAATGCACCAGAAATTAACATTGACTGGACAATAAGAGCCCTTAGATCTTTTTTAAAAAAATACTCTTCTGGGGGCCTTGATGATATTCGGGCTATCTTTATACAATTTGAAATCCAACGTTCCATGTAAAGTTCTTTTACAGCACATACCTGGTTATTAAATATAATTCTCAATAGGCCCCTTCCAGCACCCATTATTCCTATCCTCTTTGGCGTCCGTCTAATAGATTTTTAAAAAAGGACGGAGGTATTCACCTAATGGGTGTTGGATCTGCCGCCTCTAAGATCATTACTTCAAAAATCGAGGAATCTCTTTCCTCATTCCTTTCGCCTCTCCAATTAGGGTTTGGTGTTCCCAGAGGCGCTGAAATTTCGGCTCATCTTATCCATTTAACTATTGAAAACAGTATTCCTGGCGAAGTTGTCTTAAAATTCGATTTCAATAATGCCTTTAATACAATAAAACTACTTCGTTCCTTTGTTTTGCAACAAATATTCTGAATTCTCTTCATACATTATCCACAGTCTTTCAATCTTTACTTTTCTAAAATACAATAATAACATAATCATCTCAAGAGGGAATTCAACAAGCAGATCCCTTAGGCCCTGCCCTCGTTTGCAATGGGATCCACAAAGTAACCCAGGAAATATTATCCAAATCTATCCTTACTTTCTCGTATCTCGATTATGGCATCGTGGCGGGCAACCTTTCCACAATCCTATCCATCCCTCCCATCATTGAGAATCTCTCACATGACTATCACTTAATCTCCCCAAGTGTGAGATTTATAAATCTTACATCAATTCCTTTAGATTTTTTTTTGGTGGGGGGGGGGGGGTGTGAAAAGGCCATCGAAACTTTTTTATCAAATTACTAAGAAAAAATTATAAATTAAACACATTATTTAATTACCTCCCCGCTTTTTTTAATTAAAACTATTTTAATAAACCCAAATTCCTTTACGCCCCGGGATCCTCATCCATCTTCAAATGCAATGATTTGCTAGTTCCTCATGAAACCCAAATCAGCCTCATTGAAAATATATTAAACTTAAAATTTTCCAATTAATCCTGACTTCAAGCCACCCTCCCCAGAAAGTCTGATGGTATTGGTATCTGATCTCTGTTACAACTTTCCCTTAGAGCCTTTATCTCATTTCTTTCATTTTATTATTAATAATGAATCCACTCCTTTATATCCTGACCTATCCCAGGCTTTCACCTTTTGAGACAACATTTGCTCATCATCCACGTATATCATAGCCCTTCGTCTTGGCTGTAATGCTGTAGTACACTCCATTAGCATCGATTGTGGCCAGTTTATTTATTCGAAAATTTACCATCCCTTACACTGTAAATTTTCCCGTGGAGGACAACCTCGTCATTAATCTGAAGAACATTTTTTTAGCTTCCCTTGAAAAGCTAATATTCAATCCACCCTCGAACCAATGAGACTCTCAAATGAAAACGCTGCTGTAAACATTTATAAAAAAAAATCGAACGCGTTCACATCCACATATACATTAATATAAAAGCATGGTAATAATTTATTACAAACAAGTATAAGAAATTTATTTATAAAAAGCAGAGACCTGCAGAGGTACCATTTGTACGGCCCGACCAGGCCTATATTAAAAAATTTTCGGCCCGACCCGGCACGGATATTTTTTCCAAAAATTTTTTTTAGGCCCGGCTCGGAATTTTTAAAAATTATATTCGACCTGGTATATTCAAAAAATTCATTATTTCGTATTTTATCATATTTTTCGGCAAGTATTATCATTTAATAAGCAAGTATATTAGCTAATGTTGTTAAACGGCTCGTTTTGAGCCAATTTTTAAAAACAGCTAATTCAATATTTTTGCCAGAAAAATATTGACTAAGCCTCGAAATTTCGATACTATATGTCTAGGCCTTTGCCCCTTCTATGAGCAAAATGGCTTGCATAATATTTTTCTGGATAAAAAACTTCGGCCCTGCCCGGGTATTTTTTAAAAAAAAATTTCAGGCCCGGCCAGTGTATATTTTAAAAATTTATTTTAAAAATTTAAAATACGGCCTGGCCGAGGTCTCTAATAAAAAGTAAGTAGACATATAGTTGATATTCCTCTCTTATATAAAATTAGTTACAAAATACTAGGTATTGTTCACGAACGCTATCAAAATGAATACGTTAGTTTACAGCACTAGAAACGCTCTGCGCCTGCTCCGATGGTATATTCCTTATTCCCTGGACTAATGGTCTCCTGCTTACTCGGGACTATAATTGTATAGATTTTGCAACAAAATCCTGTCATAGAAAAGGCAGAAACCCTTAAAAAACAAATATGCTCTTACCAACTATATGTTCATACCAATCCTTACCAATATCCTAAGCATGTTCGGAACGGAGGCTATCAATTTTATTAAAATCATAGGAAAAAAATGACCAGATCTCAGGGGACCCCAATGAAGGATTTTTCCTTCTTCAGCAGATTTCTCTTGAAATCTGCCGGTCCAATTTTTTTAAGTATTCACTCTTCTCTAAAGTGATATGCCCTTTTTTAAATATTTTTTTCTTAGTTCTTTTTTAGTTTTTCTTCATAGATAAAAAAATAATAATATAAAAATATTTTTTTATATTTATTTTTTATATATCCTAATTTGATTTTTAAGATATATTTTAATTCAATAGTTATATGTTTAAGTTTTAATTTTTTTAAAAAAGTTTTTATAATAAAAAATGGTCATTAATATACTTAGTTAAACTATTTTTTATAGTTATTACAAATATATGGAAATGTTTTACATTCTAAAAACTAATATAGTAATCATTTATATAATTTTTAATATCGTACATTACTAAATATAGAATATGTGAAGTGTAAGAAGATACCTTACAACTCTACTATGATATACAATAAGTTGTAAGGTATATTAACTTCAAAAAATATAAATAATTGGATAACTTTTTAAGTGAAAATATATACGATGTATAAAATTATTTAGACGAAGAAGATAAAAATTTAAATTTGTTTGCAGTTTAAACGTCATCCATTATTATTACAGAAAAAATCTTTCAATTTTAATTTGTTATATATCAAATAACATTTTCAGCACGACTATTTGCGGACAGGTAAAGATTTAGCACTATTTTTTAAATTATTCTACATTCATTCACAAAATTCTTATGCCTAAAATTTTGCTTGATCAAGATGAAAAGCCTAGTTTAATGACAATAAACCAAGTCTATGCTAATAACTATAATAATTGGCGTGAAAAGGAAGAACATACTAAACGTAATCTATCAAATTACATATGCAAAATTAATATAATCATTTTGCAAAATAATGGTTTTTCTTGGAAAATCTCTTTAATACATAATAATTTATAGTAAAAAATAAACATACTGATACATAAATAAATTAATACTTTTTTAAATATTTAAAAATATGATTTTATACACAAGTTAAAGCAAGATATGGTGATATTAATATTGAAGATGATGATAGTGATAATCCAGATGGTTTATCAGATTCTTCCTCTGCCACTGAAAGTGAATTGGAAAATGAAGTTTTTTTTTTAAATTTAAATTTATGTTTTAAATAATTGTTTAATAAAAATAAATTATATAATTAAATTTTATATCTAACAATTTAGGATTTTAAATCAACCCTTGAAAATGAATTGTCCCACACATTAAAATTGCTGCAAAGCAAGGATCCTAAGATATATGACAAAAATTTTCAATGCTTCAAAGATAGCAAAAAATATAAAATTGAAAATAATGATAACCAAATTGATGGAGGAACATGCAACAAAAAAGGGAGAAAAAATAGGCAAATGACTCTTAAAGATTATGAGAGACATATAATACTTAATAAAAAAGGGTAATAAATGTTAATTGTTAAAACTATAATTACAATCAGGGTTTAACAAGTGTGCCATTTGACAAATATATATTAGACTAATCAAATACTCAAAATTGTCTATTTTTATGGTTAAATATATAAAATACTTATTGTCAAATACTCTCATAGAATGAAATAATATAATTTATTATTGAATTATGTACCTGGCCTTAGTAAAGACACCTCAACTCCCATCTAATAAAAAAAATGATAAAACATATAGTTGTCTAAATTGGTTACCTCCCAATATTTAAAAAAAACATTTTTGTGAATTAGATCTATTCAAAAATGAATAAAAATTTTACATTATACCAATTCTTTAAACATATCATTACTATTTGTATATGTATGAATGATATAATTTATTTGCACTTTATTATTCAAATAATTTGCTTTTAAAAATATTTCCTCCAAAAATGGATTGACCGAAATTTTTATTGCACATCATAGAAAAAGTAATTATAATAATCTGATGATAAAAACATGTGATCAATTTATTAAAGAAATATAAATGCATATTAATGCCAAACCAATTTTTAGGGCAATATGTTTTTATATTGTATTTTTTCTATAAGATATGTGATTTTTGAGAAAAAATTACAACTAAGAAAAACTTTACAACCAGTTAATCTAAATATACTTTGTTAAAAATCATTAATAAATTAAGAATAATTGATCAAATAATTTGATTCATAAAAGGTCTTATTCAAATTTTAATGACTATCTATATTTTTATTATTATAAAAAATAGCGTTTTCAGTGACGATGATACATTTGATAATAAAAGAAATATAGACGACAAATTATCATACGTTCAGCAACAAGATAAGATTAAACAAAAGTATAACAGTTGCACACATTAGTTATTATAAATTATTTTGCTTATTAAAGTGCCCTCTTATTTTTATACGAATGAAAAAAATAGCTTTAATTTTATTACAGGGTTTCCCATCCAAAGAAGGAAAAGTCCTAATCAAAAGAGGAAAAGTATCAAACATAAAAGGAAAAAGTTATATTGAAAAAGAAAAGTGTTAATCAGAAAGAAAAGGCCTAATCAAAAAAGGAAAAAATCCAATCAAAAAAGGGTGTCAATCAAAAAAAGGAAAAGTTCCCAAGGCTAGGAAAAAGTTCGATCATAAAGGAAAAAGTGTCAAACAAAAAAGGAAAAAGTTCAATAAAAAGGATAAGGTTCAATAAAAAGGATAAGGTTCAATTAAAATTAAAAGATCCAATCAAATTATGAAAAATGTCAATCAAAAAAGGAGAAGTTTAATAAAAAGGAAAAGTGTCAATCAAGAAAATTCCCATTCAAGAATAGAAAATCGTTATTTTTATTATTCTTCATATTTTATTTCTTACTTAATTCGTTATTAATTATTTTTTTTCAATTTTTTTCTCAATCATTTTTGATTTCTTTTTTCTCTTTAAAATTTTTTTTTATTTATTCCGTTGTTATTTTTCTTCACATCTCTATTTTTTGTCATCTTTAACAATTCTCTCCTTTTTTTCATCCTGTATAACAATTTTTTTTAGAAAAAAAAAATAATATATCTTTTTTAAAAATAAAGATTTTCCTTTTCTTTTGGGACTTTTTGCGTTTTTTGATTGACATTTTTCATAGGACCTTTTTCTTTTAACGATTAACACTTAATTTTTTTTTAGCTTTAATAAAATTTTGGGCTCAACCCAGGATAATGAAAATAGTGACGAGGATTTGTTCAGCATTAAAAAAAAGGCTAAAATATCTACTACCGATCCTGTCAAAATGGATGGAAGCGACGAATCAGATTTAGACACGTCATCATTACCTCTCAAACGAATTTTCGAGACATATAACCACCAAACAGGGGAAACCGAACTTACATCTGATAAATACGTAAATAATTATAATATATTAATTTTTATTTCTAAAAAGCTTTAGAAAAAAATATTAATAAAAACTACAACTTTTTAAATAGGATCATAACCGATTTAGGGTCTGCTAATTTTAATAAATATTTTATTAATGGCCCCCAAAGTATTCGAAGCGGTTAAATTATTATTATTTCTTTTGTTAAAATTAAAATATTTAAAACGATATAACAAAATGAAAGAATCCTAACCATTTCCACAATAAAAAAGCCGATCCAGAAATTGGTAATAGCTTTCAAGTATGACAAAAGATTTGTTTCAAAAAAAACAACAAAATTTATAATTTTCATTTTCGTCTACTTAAACATAGCTCTTTTTTAAGCTATCTGATTGGGTAAGTAAGGCTAAATTTTTCCAAAAAAAAGAGTTTTTGACATCCAACTGAATTTGAAAGTAAGCTTTAAAAAAAGTCACCCAATCAAATTGAATAAAATTCGTAAAATTTCGAATCAGATTCAACCAATCACTCGAACGCGAATGATGTAGATATTTCTATATAGACTTAATTATAAAATAATATCAAAGTTTTAAGTGTATACACAAGGTTGGCTAAATGGAAACCGTTATTTTTAGGTTCATATTTTTTTTTAACATTGGATTAATGAATTTAAAGATTAAATAAATTATTTTATAAACTTGATCAAATTTTTTTTTTTAAAAATTTATATATTTGGCCAGTCAGCTGTTATCTTGTTGGCCTTTTGCTTAAAAAATAAGAGGGCCCATTTTTATTTTGTTTGGATATTATTTATTTTAAAAATATGGGAACCGGTTCTAACCAATATCTCATAGTTTGAAACCAGAAGGAGGATCAAATATAGGAACCGAAAATAAAATCTTTCCTTAATTGGAACAGAAAGTAGGATCACCTTTTTACCAGAACCCCCATTTTAATTAAGTGTTTTAAAAAAAATAAAAATAAAAATATTATCGTCTTCCCTGCCTCACTACACAAAACAGTCTAAATAACAAAATTGGCAAAATGTTTTTTTTTGTTCCATTTATAGATTCATGAATATAATTGTTTTCTATTAAAATATCTTAAAAGCTCGTAAACTGTCTTGATAAAAATGCGATTATTTCATTATATGTTTTAAAACATCCATCCTATCATTATTTTAGATTTGGGTCAAAAAAACTGTAAAGGAAAGAAAGAAAATACTTACTTGTAGTGTTGTTAAACGACTTAGCCTAGTTGGCTTAACTTCGACTCAAGTCGAGTTTTGAGTCGATTAGTCGACTTGTTTTTACAACTCAAGTCGTAAACTCAAATCGCGACTCGAATTTTGAACTTGAGTCATGAACTCAATAAATTAGTAAACTTAAATATGAAACTCGATTACTTATATAAGTGCTATTTATTGGTTGGTTGTGTAAAACCCAGATCTGGGGTTTGTGTCTAAAAATCGACTAAACTAGCTATGAACACGAACCCTGAACACAGACCAGGGGTTTAGACCAATATTATCTTAAGTTGTTTTATCTTGACCTAAATAAAGTATATAGATATAAATAAGGTTATTAGAGGTATCAATCGATAGCTAATTAGATCTATTGAATAGGTAGCAAACCAAGCGCCACTTCTCGATGGGCCAAGATATTACTACGTAGGTCAGGAATAATTTTATCAGCACCAAATATTGAATGATGGATGGATGGGTATAAATCTAGTTCTACCTTAATATGGTGTATATAAGTTTGACCTCGGAGCGGGGGTGAAAAATAAATATGGTTTCTCATTTATTTTGAGCATCGCATGGCTCTTAATGGGCATGTCTAGATCTTAGCTTTTTATTTTTAACTTTTTTACAATATTAATATAAAATATCTGTTAGATTGCCAAATTAGGGTTTAATCCGGGTCCAGGAATTTTAAACTCTATTAAACAGAAATTTTGTTATTAACTTAATCGAAAAAATCAATTCCTAAAATTATTATCCTTTGTTTGGAAATAAACAAAAGATTGCTGGTAACATTACCCAAAAACCGTTATGTATGGAAATTATCGTATTGCCTAAGCTCTTTCCTGATTTAAATATGGAAGATTATAATTTTCAAGAAAAGTGTTAGACATAATCGATTAGGTAATTAAGAGGCAAAATTATAATTTATGAACCCCAAACTATTTTTCTCCTGAAATAGTGTCCTGGCTTAGAATTTTAGTAATTTATTGATATCTTTGAAACAAAGTATAGGAGAACTAGTTCGAACCAGATCTTGTCTACTTAATAAAATAAAATTATGACCTAAATTTTGTCGTGTTCACAACTCCGCTTTGAAATTTTTTCATTTTATTTATTTAAATCTTTATAAATCATGAATTAAAATTTTACAATTACAAATATAAAAATCTAATAAATTTAAATTATTATAATATAAAAAAAATGTATTCTGATTCATTTTTCATTTGCCAAATCTTTTTCTTTCAGAAAACTTCAAAATAAATATAAAGATGTATTAGAAGAATTAAAAATGCATATTAAATTTTAATAAGGGGGGGGGGGGTAGTTAAAATTCTTGTTTATTTAAAAAAAATATTATTCACACTAATTATATATGTTAATACGGTCTAAACACAAACACAACAAAATAGATTTAGTTCCCAATAACTCAGGCATTGTTTAAAGGGTTTCTGAAGCCATCCTATTTCTTTTTTTGGCCGCTTTGCTGAAGGTCCTCTCACTTGCAACGCTTGTAATTTGTTGCGCTAAATAATCCCTAGCCATTAACGACAAAGTGGGATATATAGAGGCGTTCTTTGCCCACCAATCCAAAATATTTGTCTATGTATCGTGAACTCAATAAATAGTTTTATGAAACTCAATTGATTATAATTGGTTAATTGTGTAAACCCGTGGCTTAAGTCTAAAAATCGACTAAACTAGCAATGAGCACAAACCACAAGCACAACCAATATATTTTAAGTTGTTTTTTCTTGACCTTATTAAGGTATATAAATATATGATTATTAGAGGCATCAATCGATAGCTAATTAGAACTATTGAATAATTAATCAAGCGCCACCTCTCTATGGCAATTACTACGTAGGTTAGGATTATTATCGGCACCAATTATTGATATGATGGATTGGTATCAATCTAGTTCAACCTAAATATGGTGTATATAAGTTTGACTTGGGAGCGGGTGTAAAAAAATAAATATGGCTACTCGTATAAAATTTTTGACCATCGTATTTCTCTTAATGGGCATGTTTAGATCTTAACATTTTATTTTTAACTTTTGTACAATATTAAGAGAAAAATATCTGCTAGATTGCCAAATTAGGGTTTAATTTTTTCAGAGATGCTATTGATAATCCAGACCCCACGAGAGATGAGATCGTGGAATATTTTAAGAAGCCCGTTGCGCCAACATCGACAAATATTTTGGATTGGTGGGCAAAGAACGCCTCCATATATCCCACTTTGTCGTTAATGGCTAGGGATTATTTAGCGCAACAAACTACAAGTGTTGCAAGTGAGAGAACCTTCAGCAAAGCGGTTGATTGTATGACCAAAAAAAGAAATAGGATGGCTTTAGAAACCCTTAAACAATGCCTGTGCCTAAGTTATTGGGTTGGAATAAATGTAAATATTAGTTGTGATTGCGTTTAGACCGTATTAACATATATAATTAGTTCGAATAATATTTTTTTAAACTTTAAACAAGAATTTTACCCCCTCCCCCCCCCACCACAAATTAGTAAAATTTAATAATGATTTTTTTTTTAATTCTTCTAATATATCTTTATATTTATTTTGAAGCTTTACGGAAGAAAAAGATTTGGCAAATGAAAAATGAACCAGAAGACATTTTTTTTTATATTATAATATTTTTTATTTATTAGATTATTAGATTTTTATATTTGTAATTGTAAAATTTTAATTCATGATTTATAAAGATTTAAATAAATAAAATGAAAAAAATTTCAAAGCGGAGTTGTGAACACGACAAAATTTATGTAATCATTTTATTTTATTAAGTAGACAAGATCTGGTTCGAACTAGTTCTCCTATACTTTGTTTCGAAGATATCAATAAATTACTAAAATTCTAAGCCAGGACACTATTTCAGGAGAAAAATAGTTTTGGGGTTCATAAATTCTAGAAGTTTTTTTAAAAAAAAAGATATCTATATCTTAATCCTCAAAATGTCGACTAATCAACTCAAAACTAGACTCGATTTATTGCGACTTCGACTCAAAGTTGGAGTTAGGAAAATTCGACCATTTAACAGCACTACTTACTTGCTTACTTATATATTCTACAATTTTTGTTTAATTGATGATCTTATACAAGATAATTTTTATTATTTAAAATAGCTTACTATCTTTCGAATTTATCATTAATATTAAAATCTGCTATTTTTTTTGCCTTTAAAACCATGAATACATTTTTTTTGAAAGGATGACAGCAATTCCAGAATACCCGTAAATATGGAAAGTGAATCAGAAGAAGAATCTGATCAATTCTTATATTCACAAAATCTTCAAGAAGTTCAAGATAAAGTCATGTCTCCAAAAATCAAACAACCCTGCAAATACAGGTTCGAAGAAATGAGCCAAGAAGGAAAAAGTTTTTACACTTTATTTTTTTAAAAAAAGATTAAATTAAATAATTATTTCTAAACTTATATAGGATTTATATATTAAATTATCTTTGTCTGACTTTTATAAGGTTTTTATACGCTAAATTTCTTAGTACAATTTGCGATTTTTATCGATAAAGTTGATTATCAAACATAAAATTGAAGAATAAAATATGGAATTTAATGAATAAATTTTAAATTTTCTTTTCTATAAATATATTTATACCGGCTTAAAATGACATTTTTCTCAAATTTCTTTTAATATTCTAATTTATAGTGTTTCTTAAAAAGAATATTTTATATGATTGTCAACCCATTTTATTAACCATGATCCATATCTCTCTAACCGGCAATCTTACCCTTTACTTCATTTACTGGTTTAAATTTAAAATTTATTTCATCCAATCAAAAAAATTTCCTTTAGTCAAATACTCCTTGAGTTTGAGCTATTATTTTTTTTTTTAAATAATTTTTTTCTAATATTTTTTTGTTTGTTTATTTGCGTAATAATATGAAAAACAACTATATTATAAAGCGTTACGTTCTTACCCGCGTATTTTACCGGCTCAAGTCAGCGATCAACTCATGAGACTTAAAACGGGAGACAAAAGAGAAAAACGAAAGACCAAAAGGCTAGCCAAGTTAGAAAAGAAGAGGGTCGAAAAGCTGAAGGCGATGGAAGATGTTAAAAGGCTCAGAGGTAATTTTTTTTTTGAATTAGCTGACGGATTTTTATTAGAACACACAAAAATAATGAAATAGTAAATAGTGTTAATTAATGAATAATAGTGCGCACAAATTGAGCGATTCAAACGCTGCATTGCAAGCGCGAACTATGCATTTCAAATGGCCTCGTGTAAATTGATAAAATTATCGTTTGGCGTTAGCGACCATTTTAAAAAAACGCAAATAGGTTTGCCTTTTTCATTACTTTTTTTATTCTTCGCTTTGTAAAATTATATAAAATGTAATATAAATAACTTACTTATATCCTAAAATAGAATATTTAGAAATCAAAGAAATAAGAACGCAGACGATAATATAATTTTCAAAGACAAAACTTTTTTTTTAGAACTTATTTAAAATTTTGAATTAACGATATTGATATAAAGACAACCTCAATTTGAACAAGGGGTATTACGTCTTTTTTATTTAAAAATTACTGCAAAACGTAAACACTCAATCTGTGCGCACTTTAATAAGAGTCTTGCTGAGCAAAAATGTTGTATTTGGAAATATTTAAATTAACCATGCGTTATTTAGCCAAAATATATGATCTCTTATAAAAAAAATGAATATCAGGTCTTCAGCTCAAAGAAATTCGTAAAAAATTGGACAAGCTCGAAAAAGTTGCCGGAATAAAGGGTCTTGATTCGGTGCTAACCCTCGAGGATATAGATAAAGATTACGATCCTAAAAAATTTGACCGTATGATTGCCGTAATATTTTATAATACATAAATTAGTCATCGATATGTGGAAAGCATTTTTTATAGGTTTTTTTTCTAACAGGAATCAGTGGTTTCGAGTTAGCTTATAAGTCTTCAATTTTTTTACGACTCAAGACTCGACTGGGGTTAAAACTGCCGCATCGGCTGAGCCATTTTGCACTGCCTATATTTTTATTTTTTAAAACATTTTAAATAAAGTGCCTATTAATGTTCATTTGCAATTGTTGAAAATAAAATCATTTTTAGAAAATATTTTTTAAAAATAAAAATTCGGACAGACCTACAAACCGCGAACCAAATTTTAAATTTAGCTTTTTTTAGCGGAACCGGGTAAATTTGGGTAAAACCTAAAAATATTGGCATCATAATTCGAGCCATCTAAATATATATCTCATTTAAAATTATAATTATCAAAATATAAATTTTACGTTTCCGAAACGTTTCATTTTATATTTCCTGAATTCCTCTTGGCACTCACTCATGTTACTTTAGCACGTGATTTATAATGTTTATTATTTTAATGGTTTAGAAAATGTTTGACGATCAATATTACGAAAAAAATGTCGACCCAACTAAACCCGTGTTCGACGATACCGACGAAGAGTTGGAACAGATAAAAAGTTTTATGAACAAATTTATGTTTTTTTCTCCCAAATTTTTTTCTAACAAATATTTGCATAATCTCTTCTAAATATTTTTAGTGTTTTTGCTTTATCAATTTATCTAACATAATAAATTCTGATATGAGTTAACTTCATGAGTGTCATGTTTATGACTGCATATTAACCAGCATCTATTATGTGTGGCTATGTAATTTAAGATTAAACTGCTGAGAGCATATGATTTCATATTTTAGATTAGCAATAATGGTCAATTGTATAGTCGTTTATATATCATTAAAAATGGAAGATAATCTTTTATAAATTTAATATACCACAATAATTTTCTCGATTACTTATCTAGCTTCCATCATGTTATCTAAGAGGAAGCTCTAACCACCATATAGTTTTATGATTTGGATTGGTCGTTTATATTCTTTTCTTCGAGAATTGTTGATTTGGTTAGGCCTATAAATTTTTCCTTATTAGCCCATTCTATAAAACATTGTCATCATATTGCCTTATGTGGTTTTTAAAAACCATTATCTATTTAGGCATATGTATGACCTTTTTTATCACTTGTAATTCTTTAGACGCAAAATTTTTTTATATCAAAAATCGAAATTTATATTAAAAAATATTATTTTTAGAAATGTCTTGTATTGTTCTAATTATTTATATTGTAGTTTATTTTGTATGCATAATAGAATAAATGACAAAATATGAAATTCAGAATAATTTTTCAGAGTTAGCAAATTTAAAAAAGTATAATATATTAATATAAAACCCGATCGAAGGCCGGGCAAAATCGGGCGAAGGCCTTCAAATTAGGGAAAATAAGGGGCGAAGCCCTCCTAAAAGTTTTTTAGTTGAGCCCCCTTAGATTGTAAAGGCTAGCGACGCTCCTGACAAATTTATAATTATTAAATTTATGCAAAGAGTTTTCGTTCAGCCTATCTCCAAAAGACTGATGGGAAATATCATTCACTTATTTTAAAATCATCCATAAAATATAATTAATTATGCTTTAATTTATAAATATGATAAAAAATAATATTATAATTAGTACAATAAGAAATATTACTGAGTCATATTTTGGTCGATAAACCCGACAGAAGGCAGGGAAATAAAAATTCACGCAAATAAGTGAAAAATATAATGGCAACCATGCATGCAGGGTTCTATAAATATCTAAATTATCTAATTATAAATAAATTATTATACCTTTCTATATACCCGCTAGGTAAGTACAATGAACATCAAGGTACAAGTAAAAAGATCAAAATGGGTAAATTAGATGAAAATACCCAAAACGGTTTATATTTTAAAATTATTCCATTTTAATAATTTTTTATACATTAAATCAAGACTTATCCGTAAATTTTTTGTTCTTTAAAATTTATTAATAGCGCTTGTTGAATTTCTTTCCTAAGTTAGATCTAATTTTTTATATGCATCCAATGGATTAAAATTAGGGCTGTGCCGATATTAAATATCGGATCGGATCGGTACCGATATTCAGCGTTTTCCGAAAATATCGGATCGGGTCGATCCTGTAAAAAACCCGATCCGATCGTTTTACTTTTTCTTTTTTTTGTTATTTTATGTTATTTTATTTTATGTTATATAATAAATAATTTTTTAAAATTTTATTTCTTTTTTAAAATAGATTTATAGTATTTTAAAAGTTTTTTTTTATAAAAATAGAAAGGAACACCCAAATTTTTATTTATATTAAATCTTTTTAAATAACGCCAATTTTTATATTTATACTTTAAATAAAAGAATTTTTTTAAATATGGTATCTGAATTTTACAAAAGACAAAGATAATTTTGCAAAATGCGTTATCTGCGGAATCATCCGAGTCTGCCTTCAGTACGGCAGGAGATATAAATAGTCCATATCGTAGAAGCTTATTCCCAGTAAATCTAGAGGCTCTCATATTTATTAAAAAAAATCTAATATATTATAATTTTATATATTAAATATTACAATTTTATAATTTCAACATAAAATGGATATATTATTAAATATATATTTTTTTATTATAGTCTTAATTGTAGAAATAAAAAAAATTAAATTATTCATAATTCGATTTTTTGCATAAAAAATATTGATTTCTTAATTACATTTGGTTCAAACGGGGGTGAGTAAAAATCAGTAAAAATATCGGATCGGTTTTGAAGCAATATTGGGATCGGATTGGTAAAAAATATGTAGATCGGCACAGCCTTAAAATTGGGTACCCTTTTTTTAATAAAACAATTCTCACATGGCATCCTCCCATTTTTATTTTTTAAAAAAAATTAAGAATTCAAAGATTTGAAACGAAATTTGGACGATTATTCAAAGTTACAATTTGAAGGTATCGTTGCTGGTATACCTACGCGATTTAAATATCGGCAAGTAGTGCCCAACCAATTTGGGTTAACGTTAGATGAAGTATTAAATTTTTTTAGATATTTTTTTATACTATGAGCAAAAAATTGGAACCTTAAAGACGCTGAACCAGATACGCTTAAAAAAAATTTGATTCTTGGAACGACTTATCTGAAAATGATTTTATAAAAAAATATCACAATGGTTTCGATCCCTGCTTATGAGGCTTAAAAATTTTTTTTAAATCGCATTATAAGTATGTTTTTCAAATCTCAGTAGGCTCAGTTTATTATGAGCTCAACCACGAACAGGTTCTGACCTAGACCCTCAGACAGGTCCTGTCCTAGACCCACATACAGGTCTGGACCAAAGACCGGCTCGGAACCTAAAAACGGGTTTTAGTTTTTATTAAAAAGAAAGTCTGTTTCTTTTTTTTTGTGCCAAGATCTCCTGCTTTGGGAAAATATTTGTTAACAGAGGGTAATATTGCCTGTTTTAGGACTTAATATAATTTTTTTTCTTAATAAACTTTTAAGTTTCACTAAAAAAAATTAAGAAAAGGATTTTTAAATAAAATTTATTTTTTAGCCTAAAATCGAATATTCATTTTTTTTAACAGATATTTTGCGCTAACGATAAGGAGTTAAATAAATGGGTCAGTTTGAAAAAAATGTTTCAATACCGAACTGATCAAGAGGAGAAATTCGATTTGCACGCATATAAAGTTAAAGGGCAACAATTGTATAAAAAAAGAAAAATTCTGAATAGTTTATTCGAAATGGACGAAAATAAAATTGAGAGCGAACCTAACGATTTGGAAACGGTTCCTGATCTCCTCGAGTAAATAATAACAAATTAAAGTCAGGATGTCGAACCGAACCTTGAAACCGTTATAACCGAAACGTCAAAAAAAAATTCTAAAAGGAGGAAACATACTGTCGAACCGGTTTCATAACGGTCTTTTTAACTATTATATATTGTAAAAATGATTAGCACAATTTTACAAAATACATTTCGTTAATTCGTTTTAATTCAATTTAAAAAAAATTAAAGTAGATATTTATATTGGTCAGGTATTTCTTATTCGTGCCTCACAATAAAATAAGGTTATATTTAATTTTTGTTGATTTTTATTTTAATAAATTTTAAAATAACTTTATTAGATTTTTCGTGGCCAATTTAAAAAAATATATATGTGAATTAATCGGTATAATCCCAAATCGTTTTAAAATTTTAAACAAAGAACCGGAAATGGAACTGAACCCTTTTAGCATTCGATATCCTGTTTAAGGTATAACTCACTCAAGCTAAATTTAATCGAAACCATTTTTTAAAACTAATTATTCCTTTTTATAGGAAACAAGGAGCCATTACCATCAAGTCACAAATAGCAACTACTAAGCCTAAAAATATAACAAAATCTACCGAAAAAAGGGATGAAATCAAATCCATTCTTATACCCTCGAAAATTTCTGACGAAAAATTATCAAGCTTCAATAATAATAATAATAAACTAAAGGCAAATCAAAGAACAAATCCAAAGTAGATCTCAAAAATCTCACTTTACCCTCTGACCAGAGATTATTATCCTATGGTATAAACCCTAAAAAATTTAAGAAGACACAAAAATTTAAAACAAAAATGATGCCAACATAGCAAACCTGTTCTTTTAAAAAAATAATTGATGGTAAAATGTAAAGAATAAAAATTCGTAAGAAGAAATTTTATGGATCTTTTATATGATTCAAAATTTTGTGGTGTTACTTGAAACGTTTATTATGTATTTTTATTATATATATATAATGTTGTAATAAAAAATATATAAAAATTTGTATTAAATACAAGTATTTTACACTGAGTATTCATACTTTTCAAGCATAAAAAAAGAGAAAAATATAGTGGAAGTAAAAATTTTTTAATTATTATCTTTGATGTGTGTTTTGTGGCTTTATATAAAAAATATTGATAAAATTAAAGGCATCATGGTTTTTTTCATATTCAAATATTATTTTTAAAAAAGATAAAAGTATCTGGAATGAGATCAAGAATATTGATGATCATCCATATTAAAAAAAATATATATAAATATAATAAGTGTTTTTTGAGCATTAAAATTATGGATAGAATAATTTCAAAAATTATAATATCAGCATATAACTTGCAATGAATATAGCAAATATGCATAAAGTTTGTAAGGCCTTTAAATTGGAAGCTCCATTGCAACCATCTCTATCATTGCAATAACAAGTTATTCGGGATACACGATAAGTTCCAGTCATTTTATAACATTTATTGTTGACATATTCATTGATATCTATTCCTTTTTTGTCAAAGTCTTGATCAGGGCCTAACCAAGCACAGTCTCTTATAATTCTGCGATCATCTTCAGCTTTATTGTAATAAAAATTTTGATGTGTTTTGGTTTAGAATATTCAGGTGTGTAAAAAAGAGGGGGATCAACACAAATTTGCCTGTTCTCTCTAAATATCATTTTAAGCTGGTAACCCCCCCCCCCTTATTTTCTCTTTCAAAAATGTTTATAATATATTATTATAAAGAAAATTATTAAAATTTAAAAACTTTTTTAAAAGACTAATTCACAATTTTTGGAAAAAACAAAATTATCTTTATAAAAGTATATGATCAGCAGGCAATATCCTGTTTACACTTATGAGAATATTTTTCATGACTTTAAAATTTTATTATTATACACTTGTGATAATTAGTAGAATTGTTTAAAACTATACTCTTCCAATGTCAAAATTACTTGTTTGAACTGTTTTGATACAATATTGTGCATTTCCATTTTGATAAAGTCCATTATTAGGAATACATGGATTTATTTCTTTAGTTTGATTATTAAATGGGTCCTTACACCTAGAGTCATCATGACTTTTACACTTATAACATTTAATACAGGTATCTATATATGATTTTTGAATTTTGCTTTTAAGGTTTTATTTTACTTGATTTAAAGCATAAGAATAATCCTATAATTATCCATACATTTATTTTGTAAAGAAACATTTTTGCACCTTTCAGGTATTTCATTTTTACCAGGCCATGTTGTTGACGACGAAAGCCCTAATATTTTGACATATGCTCAGGAATATCACCTGCTAACACATAGAAAAATTGAATATTTAATCTAACAGGTCAAATTTTCGGTTAATATTATATAATATAATATAGGAGAACCCTAGCCCATATCTGTATTTTAGTTATTAAGGGGTTAATTTCAAATTACATTTCTGAAATTAATATATTATATTAGAAAATGATATTAAATGAAAAAATAGGGTATTTTATAAGCCAATCAATTATTCAATTGTATTGCATGCAAAAAAAGTTTAAAAGAACTAGCTGATGAAGCTTCAAATTTCAGTTCAACAATAGGAAAATGTTAAGATTGTTGATACTAAATTACAACCATTATTTATATTAATACATTAAGAAATCGGGTTGGAAGAATTTTTACTTATGAATTAAAGTTATATGACACGATTTATTTTTTATTGAAGATTCAGAAATAATAAGTGATTATAGTTGCTGCTGCTTTTATTATTATCAAATCTTTATTATGATTACTCCATTATGACGTATGTTAAACTGTAAGGTTTGCGATATATATTTCATGTTATTTATTACTTTTTGTTTAATTGTCCTTTTCCCATGTCTATCCGGGTGTCAGTTTATCCTATAATCCCCTTTCTCTCTTTTTTACGGTCCTAGTCAAACCCAATATTTTCATGTCAATATCTACCACTTTCAACTAGTTATGGTCGCCCTTATTTTCTATCTCATAGAGTTACATATCCAACTAACCATTCTCATCTCCATTTTCTACTTGGCATTGTGTATCGTCATAATTAGCCACGTGTCGCTGCCATTCTTCATAGAAATTTTCACATAGTGAATAAAATTTTCCATACACATCTAGAGATATTTTTATCCATTATGATTGACATCCTGAATCTTCCTTGCATATCTTATTCTTAAGACCATGGCATCCATCTAAGATAAATATATTGTCTAGGCACAAAAACCTCCCCACTTTTCTAAAATTTTTCATTTCCGATTTTAAACGTGTCTTATATTATTATAATCTCGCACCCATTTTATACATATAAAAACAAATGTCTTGTTATCCTTATACAGACTTTCCTTTAAAACGTCACTATACCTTATGTCCCATTTAAGATAGCAAGTACAATTGATAGATTCTAGCAACACTTTTCTCACATACACCACTTGGCCATGTTTTGGTCTCTTCGATATTTACTAAACCTTCAGCTTCAAACATAAACTTCGTCTTTCTATACTCATTTTTAAATCTTTCTCTTTCATAATCATTTTCCATCAAAGTATTTTATCCATTAATTCCGTTTTAGCCATCACTATGAGCACTAGATCATTGGCATACAATATTTCTATAGCCCCTACATTCATTATAATTGTAAAAAAAAGTCACACAATAAATGGGTCTCAACAACTCAATTTAATTATTAATTGGAATCTTGTCTCAACTCAATTCAATTATTAAAAAGAATCTTAATTAAACTTTAATTACTCCCTTAACATTAATCAATATATATAATTTAACCTCTTATTAATATATCTTCTATATGAATCATAAATATAATTATTTATAATATATGCTAAAAATAAATTCTTTAATACAATAAAATTTTATATTTAATATAACCTAAATGATTATTTTACATCACGAAAATACTAATGTCTAATTGTATTTCATTTTGCCAGCTTATATTATTTTTCAATTTAGGAAAATATTATTAAAATGCACCGGATACGTGTTTTTAAAATAACCTTTACAAAAAAAATAATGCGAAAGGAACTTGTAATATCGATTACTAATTCAAATATAAATACTTCTTTTTTTACAAAAAGTAATATATATAACCAAAATCATAGAAGTTTGCAAATTATGCTTTATTCGTCAAAATTAAAATAAAACCTATAAAAACATAAAGTAACTTAATTATTTCAGCATAAATTTTAAGATAATATGTCATGTCAATAATAAAAAGTAACGGAGTTAAGACAGATCCCTAAGGCAGTTTTACCAGCTATTAATCCAGCCTTTTTTATCTTAGCCCCAACTTTGGGACCTCTCTCAGCATTCTGTCATATGCCTCCTCCAGATCTACAAATGCATATTTAAATAACTTACCATTCTCTTGGTAAATTTCATGAATTTGCCTTATATAATGTTTTCCCAAATGTAAAGACAAACTACATAGCATTCAATCCATATGCGCAGTCAAGGGGGTTAGGGCAAGGGAAAATCATCATTTTTTAGAAATTCTTGTAAATAATATTTTAGACTAATAAAAAAATCTCCTATATACATCCCTTTCCCTCCTGAAAAAATTTATACAATATATCATTATAAACAAAATTTTTAAATTATTTTACTAAAATGTTAATAATATTTTAAAATAGCCGTTATCATTCAATATTTTCAGAAAAAAAGCATTTTTATTTTTAAAAAGTGACAAACTTATATTTATAAAAATCTAGCATCCCAAAGCTTATAAATAAGTGTACCTAAGGATCTCCAAATAAATTTTTTGGGAAAAACCCCAGCTTAATAGCCCCCCCCCTCCCCCCACTTAGCAAAATCCTGCTACGCGTATGATCAGTTCCATAACCCTAATAACCGTCATGTCTTTTCTATATCTCAGTAGTTCTCTTTGTATTTATATACATAAAACATGCAATATCTTGGTTTATGTTAAAAGGTGTCAAATAAATAATTTTAAAATACAAGAAGATCCATTATATATATAAGTTAGAGCCAATATCTCATTTTTACAACTTTAAATCATTTTTTAAGCGCGTTTTTTAGATTTAAAAATCAAATTTTACTGGGAATATATTCTATCATGATTGAAATACCTATCATATGAATTGTAGACAATTTTGATGTTAACCTTTTAGTCATTTATAATTTGTATATAAAAAATATATGGAAAATTGAATATAAATTATATTAAGTTTAATTCATGGAAAAATTGTTTGTTTTATAAAAAATGCGCTCAAAAAATGATTTAAAGTTGAAAAAACTACACATTGACCTGTAATCGCTTCCGATCTATTACATTTATCATACTCCGTATTACACAACCGTCATATATATCTAATTTTTAGTAAACTAATTTTGCGCATTCATTGTTATTTTGTCAAGTCATCGTTATCAAAATTAATATTTCCAAATGTGCAAGATGTAAAAGATATTACAAAAAAGTTAAAATTATTAGAATATTATTTCTCTTCGTTTGTGAAATATATTATATTTACTGCTCTGTTTCTCATATGAAAAACTTGTTATTTACAAAATATTATCTGTAAGAAAAAATATAATATTAATAAACAAATTATTTTAGACTTTAAATTGTGTGTTATCTTTATATACTATTATAAACGCTAAAGGTTTAAAGGAATTACCAAAGGTTCTCTTGAGTAAGGTGGCTGGATATAAAAGAATTAACGAAGTTCTCTAAGTGAGGCGGATTATAAAAAAGGAGTTAACCAGAATCCTCTTTTATGTAAGTGACCTTCGCGCTAATATTTTTACAGTAAGCCATGTCGCACGCAAGTGCTGCAGAATTTTTTTTTTACAACAACTACCTAGTTAGCTTCAGAAAAAAAATCCTAATCCTTGCTGGATTTGATCCCAAATAAATGAAGTAAGTTATATAAGCATTCACCGACTAGTTAACGGAAGCAATCAAAACCTGCAATTTATTTTATACATATTATAACCATGCAAAAATGTTAAGCACAAAATATTGTTTTTAAGTGTATGAATATATATATACAAAGAAGCACGGGATTGGGGGGAGGGGGGTTAAAAATTTGCCATTCTTTTGGGATTTCAAATGTGATATCTTTATAGATAATTTTTCTTACAGCCTTCATGAACAGCTTTTATCATATGATAGAAAAAAACGTTTTGCCGAGAAGCAAAAATAAATGATAATAGCTAAACTCAAGGAATGTTCAAACTTTAGGAGATTTTTTAAAATATATTTAAAAATTAAATTATCCGAACTAAGGAGTGGGATTAAAGGTCAAGGAGATAAGGGTTAGAATTAACTACATGTTTGAGAAATATGAGATAGGTTTAAGATATATTAAAAATGGTTTTTAATAAAAGTATATAATTTATTATTATTACCCTCAAATCTGACAGGTCTTGCGATTATAAATAGGCCAATATAAATTTAAATAAATCAGCTAATGGTAATATCTATGTGCTTTGACCATAATCAAAATATGTTAGGTGTGATCAATTATTTAGGCCATGCTATACTAAATTGGATGATGAACATGATAAAAAATTAGAAATGATGAGACACTTATAAATATTTTATTTTTGTTTTATAAAAAAAATTTTTTTTTAAAATTAAATACAATTCATTAATAATATATTTCATTAATTAATAGTTTTATAATATAATATTTGACTTTTTTGATCATTTTAAAAAGTGTGGGGGGCTAAGTCAAATGACGTAAAAAAAATTATAAAAAAAATAATTTATTATATATAAATTTGAGCTAATAAAATTTATTTAGGAGAAAAATTTTTAATTTATTTATATATAAATGAATAGAAAACGCCGCTTTATTAAAATCGTAAATATGCTTAAAAAAACAATTATACCAAAATTAGCATGACATATTTATAATGAAAAAAAAATTATAGATGAAGGAGTATTATAAGTATTTATAAAATATAATCTAATGTTTAATAATATTGCATGCACAGGAAGATGAATCAGAGGGGTAGCAGCAAAAGTTATCATTCAGCATATCGATATCGCCATTCACAAAATTACTATCTGCCAAATTTTTATGATAAAAATAAAAATATATACCCAAAATATGCGGGAATTATTATAAGGGGATCTCGAAACCACTAAATTGCCCTCTTTCGAACGTTCATTTATTCCTCCTAGCTAATATAGAATTCCAATTTTTTTAAAAAAAAATAATCTATTTGAATTCTCAAAGTGTGAATTATACCAGTTGAGGAAGAACTGGTCATATTGTATTGATTAGCGGTATTAGAAGACGTTTTATTGCAGAAATTTCCGGAGCGATTTTTATGAGAGTTAGCATGATGGGTTTGTTGTTGTTTATCACAGGTGGTTGTGTGAACCTTTTTCGAGTTGTTTTTCAACGAGTTCTTGCTATCTCCATTGGTCGAAATATATTTAGCATTATGGCAATTAGCATTGTTTTTTGTGTAATTGTTTGCGAGGCCATTGGTTGAATCCTTATTTTTTTATTTGTTATTATACAGTGTTGTGCAGATTTAATTAATTCCATATTTTTTTTTAAATTCGTTTGTAAATAAAATTATTAAACTCGTAAAAATATTGATACGAATTAAATATGTTATTATTTTTTTTTGCAGGTCAAATAATTTTATTTTCCAATAAATTAAAAAAAATATGGAAATGTTTTTCATCAAACCTGGTCAACACTGTAATCGTTATCATAATTATGAGATTGACAAACTTATATATTTATAAATATCGCCCAAAACCACAAATTAAAAATTCATAAAAAATCATGCAAGTTGGGGAAAAAAAAAATAATGGATGGAATATTTATTTAAAATTAAGGTCTTGTCTCGCTGGATGCATGGATAGTAAAAAAGTACTATTACGATGCGATCCGGATCTGAAGTTTTAATCGTTCGGGCCGGGTTCTAAAGCTAAATTTTGCCGGGCCGGTTCTAAGCCGCAACAAATTCCAAGTCTCACATCAAAATTTTAAAAAGAAATACAAAAAGAATTATAATATGAAACATAAATGTATGGTTTTTATTCTGAGGTTAATTTTGACGCCAGTTTAAAATAGTTTCACCTATAAATCGATGGTATAAAGAAAATCGAATTTAACAGTAAATTAATAATTTTTATTTAAAAACATGATTTTTGGAAGAGGAAGATATTTGATTCGTATCGTTGGTCTCGTTCGAGTTAGGGTAATAATTGGAGTTGTTGGCATAATAGTAACAACTGGATGGCGGGTAACCGGAATCATCCATATCTCTAGGTCCATCCATCCTATCTTTTTCGTCTTTAAAAAATAATTTTTTTAAAATAAAACCAATTTTAAATAGATCGCCAAATTCAAAAGTTTAACAAAAAAAAAACTTTCTGCATGGGCGAAAGAATTACTCGTAAAAATGGGGTCAGTATAATTGTTTTCGCTTTCACGGGCATCGTTTGAAAAACTATCGTCGTCTTTAAAAGGACCATTGCCGTCGTGGGCCGAATTTTCGGGTATTTCCGTTGTCGTTGATATGACCACCGATTTTTTGACGTACCTAGAATCGAAATTGAGTTGATACTCCAGGACTTCCTTGTAGATCAAATCTTATTTTTAAAAAAGGATATAAATTTTTTTTTAATAACCGCATGCCCGAATTGGACCTTTAAAAATCTCTCTTTTTTTAAACTCGAGCTAAGCCTTGTTTACATTTTAAAATTGTTATTGATGAACAAATATTTCTTTCTTTCTTCCCTATATCCGCAATGCGGTGCTCAAAATAATTATATTTAGCTAATTACACTAATAATACCTTTCCATTGTTCCACCGTGTGTTCATTCTCGTCTACTGTATAATCGTAGATGCCAGGGGAAGGCTTAAGTGAGCATAGATATTGTACAAGTTTCAAAATTAAATTTGATTAAAAATTATTTTATTTCTTTAAAAAACAGAATGCACCGCGTGTCGCGTATCATAATCATTTTTCTATCAAGCCAAATATTTAACAAGCTTGTGATATTTCGCTAAGTTAGTTTTCAAAAACTATCTCATATATTTTTATGGGAGAGTTATCTTCTTTTTTTTCAAAAAAATTTGCCATTACAGAGTCCTACCCCTCTTTCCAAGAAGACGGGGTAAGGTGAGCCCTATAAAGGAAAAAAAACTCATGGAGATTGGGTGGAAATTTATTAAGAACTGATACGTACAGCGTTGACTTCCAAATCGTCGTACCAAACGTTGACATAGGGATGTTTTAGGGCTTGATCGGTCGTGATCCTTTGACTAGGGTTTATGACTAGCATTTTTATTAGCAAGTCTCTGGCGTAGGCGGCTTTTTTTTAAAAAAAGTAATGTACACTTATTTTTGGCAGACAAAATTAGTTAGTAAAAAAATATCCTGGTTTTAAAAACTATCCCCCCCAAAAAATAAATTTTTTCTTTACAAGTTAGGTTTCCGTGCTCCGCGCTGTCCCGGGGAAATAGGACGTCGGGAAATAATTTATCGAATGGGAAACCCGAACATTTAGGCCGCGTTTCCACGTAATTTCTCACGGTGGGTTGCAATTTTTTGGTAAAATCGGAAGGCGGAGTGCCAAGAAGCTCTATGATTTTGCTCCATTGGTCTATGTCTTTTTTTTTGTTAAAATAGTAAAACGGATCATATTTAGGCCGCGTTAATAGTTGAATCCGATCCTTAACAGCTGATCGATTTTAAAAATCGTGTTTATAAGATAGATCAATTTATCGATAATTAATATATCTATCTTTAATTCTATTTCATGATAATAATCCACGAAATGTTCATTTTGATAAAAGAGAAATTGATCTCATAAACAGGATTTTAAAAACTGATCAGCTGTTACATCGTGTCGAGTTGGACCCGCCTCCCCCCCCCCCCCGACGTGAATGCGCTTACACGGTAAAATAAAATCAAAATCCATAATAGCGTGCACATGAAAGTAGAGCTCAGTAAAGTGGGCACAAAGTTCTGAAAAAATATAGGTTATGACTGGGTTTAAGAGACTGACCGAGCTTATAAAAATATCGTAGGACCGTGACTAACTATCTTTTTTTATAAATTATGTCCCTTCATTTAAATTCAGATTAAAGCAATTCTCGGAATATTCTCAGGGATTAAGGAGGGAAAATCCCATTTCACATTATATATTTTTTTTAAATTAAAATTGGCGGATAGAGGCCGGGCTTTAAAATTCAAGATGGGTTTAGCCGTTTAGGGATAAAAATATCGAATTTGTCTGGACTTTGATGATCATACCAACGAGGAAGGTAGCAATTGTTGCGAACCAATATATATATGGTATATAAAACCACGCACGTTTAAATTAATTTTTATAAGGAATTTAAATCAAAACTACAAATAAGGATATCTTAAAATTTGACATAATAAATAATAAAAAAAAATATACATTACTGTTTAATCCACATATTAACATTTAGAAAAAAATTTTTTGTATAAAAAATTCATGATTTCTAATCACCCCAACCAATCGAATGAAAAATATTGAATAATTTGTAAAAAACTTACGATCAGTTCCAGGAAAAAGAACGCTACCTCTTATTATTTCGCCCATTATACATCCTATAGACCATATATCGACTTTGTTTAAAAAATTAATAATTAATTTAAAAAAAAAATAAAATACATCAAATATCAGCTGTTTTTTTTTAAAAAAAAAAGCATCGTGACCTACCGTTTTCTTTGTAACCCATACCCAATATAACCTCGGGCGCCCTATAATACCTGGTGACCACGTAGGGAGTCATCAAAAAGCTCGAACCAGCAGTTCGGGCCAACCCAAAATCCAATATTTTGAGGGTGCAATCTGATTTTACCACTATATTACTGGGTTTGAGGTCCTAAAAAAAGTAAAATGAGTTTTAAAGGAAATATATATTGGATCAAATCCAAAAAATTTAGTAATTTTAAAGAAACAGAAAATGGCGAGGGAGAGCTACCAAAACATGCGTTTCAATGGAATGTTCATTACTGCCTGCCACCACCCCCTGCAAATAATTAAAGAATTGTTTCGCAGGAAAAAAAGGAACAATATATTTAGAAATTATATATTCAAAACTGTGATTTTTTTTTTAAAAAAAAGCGTAATTTATATTTGTAAAACTCTATGAATTATGCCGGCAGAATGCAAATGTTTGATGCCGCATAGCATTTGGTAAAGTAAATAAGATATCCTTTCGTGATCTAAATCCATCTGAATGACTTGGCACAAGTTTGCATCCATCAATTCGGTCACCAAATACCTATAAATATTCAAAGGGACGAAATAATAAGGTTGTCTAACTCTTCTCTTCTCTCTCTTCTCTTCTCTTCTCTTCTCTTCTCTTCTCTTCTCTTCTCTTCTCTTCTCTTCTCTTCTCTTCCCCTCCCTTCCCTTCTTTCTTTCTAGCTTTCCTTGAATCGAAATACATTATATTTACAAATATTTTTATTTTCTCCTCAAAATATGTACCTAGTACCTTTTTTAAATTGTATTTACACAAATAAAAAAAAAATAAGAAAATTTTAAAGATGAAAGAAAGAAAAAATTAATATTTTTGCTAAAAAAATTGAACATCAAAAGATAAAAATAAAAGTTAATTTAATAAAGTGGTGTTTTGATTGAATTAATAGTATTTAATAATTTAAGTAATTGGTACTAAAGGTTATGAGAAATTAAATGTATATTTCTTTTGCTAAAAAAAAATACATTAAAATGAAAAAGGATAATTAAAAATAATTCTTTTTCAAATTACAAACTTTTTAATTAACGTTTTTTCCATCTCTTTGTTAAGCTGATATTATTATTTTTTTATAATTCTTGTACCAAAAATTTTTCAAATCTTTAATAAAAATTTATGGTATTTTTGCGCCTCTTTTCTTTCTTTCCTTCTCTCTTTTCTTTCTTTCCTTCTCTCTTTTCTTTCTTTCCTTCTCTCTTTTCTTTCTTTTCTTCTCTCTTTTCTTTCGTTCTTACCTTCCTACCCAGCTGGAAAGAGTTGCCGGAAAAATTTGAAAAATAAAAAAAAATATATTCTTATAATTCTTACACGTCCTGGAAATCTTCAAAAGAACTTTGAGGTGTGAACGCGTTTAATAGGCTAATTATCTAAATAATAATAAAAGGATAAATAATTATAGTTCAAAAGCGGGTCACCGTGTAAAGATTTCTCTATTTTTTTTCTTCCTTTTTTCATTTTCTCACTTTTTTCTTTTCTTTTATTTCTTTCTTCTTTCTTTTTCACTTTATATAAAGTTTTAAATTCGAATCGATAGTTATAAAAAAATTTATAAAAGGACACATTTAATGCGCCTTTTTTATAAAAATTTAAATCGATATAAGAGATTTATAATCTCTGATGTATTTTAATTCATTATTTTTATTTAGAAATTGTGAAGTAAAAAATAGATTTTTAAGTTGGTAGCTCAAAATTGGAGGTAAGGAGATGTTACAATCACGTGATTTATTTGAATTCCTATTTGGCAATTCAAAATATGCCACGCATGAAAAAAAAAATGGTTTCCTAAGATATGAGCATATCATATCCTTAAAATTTTAGGTACCCTCCCTCTCACCCACGACCCAAATAAAATAATATTATTTAATTTACGTTTTTGTGGTTGACGAGTTTAAGTAGCACGAATTCGCGATACGCCCGTTTGGCGTGAGTAACGTTTTGAAAAGGTCGGCTCAACTTTTTGATGGCAACGTTTCGCTCTAAAACCGAATCGTAGGAAGCGCTGAATCCCAAGTTAATTTAACACATTTTATATATATTTAAGAGGCCTCAGAAGCCCTGGTCCGGATTGGCCTATTTAAGGACCAGACTCAATTTGTAGAAACCTAAGTCATGGTAGCAAAATAAATGAATAAGAAAGAAAACCCGAGCCGGGTAAATAAAGGTTGTGTGGGGGAAATGACTTACCTAATTATGACCGTGAAACAAGGGTTTTTTTCTCGACAAAACGAGGCTAAACGCAAAATATTATTTTTTATCGCGTCACGTCAAAAGTTAATTAAGGCTAATTTTTAAATTACGTAACCCTCGTGATTCATAAATACGTGGAATAAAATGGCGTATAAATAATTTACCAGACCATCCCCTGAGCACCGGATCCGATAGGTTTTAGATTTTGATAACGTTTTAAAATGGTGAAATTTGTGTCGCCTATTTCGAGGTAATAAAACCTGTCATCCTCTTCTTTTCTTTTATAAATATAAATAAAATCGGAAATGTACCCTATTTTTTGATTGACATAAATTCGATAATGAAACCTACCCCCTGCCTGCCTGTCAAAGAAATAGGAGAATTAGATAGAAATAATTTTCCGCTTAAAAGTTTTATATTGTTAATTAAGCTCTTCTTAAAAACGACCCGATTATTAAGATTTTAATCCCAAATGATATTCTACAATTCCTAGAGATTCTTCTTATAAAAGGCGGAAAGGTTTGGCCCATCTATTTGCCAAACTTTAAGAAAAAAAAATCGACTCAAATAGGGGGGGGGGGTTAGGTTCTGTAAACACTTTTGATTATTCCTAGTCTGTTTTTCGCTCCTCATTTTATTTTTAAAAATATTTTCGTATATTTCTTATAGATAGAGAGAGAGTGGTGTTCTTTAAACGAATAAAATTCACTCAGCTTTCTCCTTATAAAATACGTAAGTCGACAAGACTAGAAAATCTTGGAAAATAATTCACTTTACGCGGCTTCGAATGGAAAATAAAACAATTATATTAACAATTTTGGATAAATTTTTTTTTAAAGTAAATGCATCCCTATATACATAATATCTAGCCTGTACAAAAAAATTTGAACCGGTTTTTAAAAGTTAAAACCGAACCGAGTCTGAACCGATATTCGTATTGGTTTCGGATACTTAATTATTTTAACCTCGTAGCTTATAAGATAAGAAAGAAGGATAGGAAGGAAGGAAAGATTTCCTTATTTCAATCTTTTAGTCGATACAAATAGGTATAAATTTATGATTGCTCGGAAAACGTAGACAGGGTTACCGTTATAACGGCTCTATTTCGCCAAATTTTAAAATGGAGATTCTAGGCCCCAAAATAATATCTCGCAAAGCCTCGACATTTGGTTAATACATCTCCATAACCTTTCTACCATCTATGATCAATATTCAGGCCTCGCGCAATTATTTTTTATGGCTTCAAAACTAGGCAGGGAGGAGGGTAGAGCCCCCAGTTGCACGCATTCATAATCAGTGCGAATTAGCGGGGAAGTATAAAAAAATTCGCGCCAAACCGTGATTGCATACGTTTATCTTTTTAAAAAAAATTTTTTCTTTTCTATCTTGATTTATATCAAAAAAAATATATATAATATTTATATTAGTATTCAACGAGAGTTTATATCCGAATAAAAAAAAATATTACATATTATGTAGATTTATATAATTTTTTTTTTTCTAAAATAAATGTTTCAATTTTCTTTTCTCTTTATTTTTCGACAAAATCTTAGAATTAATTTGGTAGAAAAATGGAGGAAAAAAATGGGGAAAAAAATGGTGGTGGGGGGGGGGGGGTTATAATTTATACGAAAAGAATTTCCAATTTATTGTAACATTTTTTTTTACCCGACAAAATTAAACGGTAACAAATTTGGCAGAAGAATTAATGCGCTTTTGGATCCAAATTTAATTTTATCGATTTTTTTAAATTTTTTTTAAGAGAAATAAAAAATTGATACATCATTTTTTGTCGTGTCTTGTGTATAAGGGGGAAATAAATCTTATTGGTTCCAGCCAATGACATATAATAATATCTAGACTGACGTTGAATTCATTAAAATAGGGGTGTACCGATACCACTGTTTGGAGGCCGATCCGATCCGATATTCCAGATATTTAATTGATATCGGTCGATAACCGATCCGATATCATATCTAATTTTGTATTCTGTAAAGATACCGGTTTTAATTTTTAATATTCTTTTTATTAGTACAACATCTATAATTTTACTATACCATAACATATGTCATTTAAATATATTATAATGATCTGTTATAGTTTATATTCAATTCAATTGCAATTATTTATATAATAAGTAATAACATTAATCTATTTACAATTAGTAATAAACAAATATATTGAAATTTGAAATTGATATATAAAATTAATTTATCGAAGATTTCTTTTTAGAAATACCAAAATTTCCAATTTATCAGAGATCGGTCTGCGGTGATGGGGACTGTTAATATCACTAGTATCACTAAAAACAGATTCTGAAGAGATTAATGAACACTTTTTTAAACAGAATGCGAAAAAAAATAACTATATTGCAGAATGTTTATTAACTAATTATTACTATTAAAATAATTAAGCATAAAAATATATTCCGATTTTATTTATAAAAATAAATGGATTTTTAGATATAACTTTTTTTAAATTTTGTTAAAAGCGCCATTTTATATCGGATCGGAAAATTTTATAATATTTGCCGATAACCGATATTTTAAAATGGGCGAAATATCGGCCCGATCCGATCCGATATAAAATATCGGTACATCCCTAATTAAAAGTGTAAAATTGAAAACAGCTGGGGACTCATTATCATTATTAAAAAATTTTAAACGAGAGGCCGATTCAATTTCTATGCCTGACACAAATTTTATTAGGGTGAATTGCCTGATCATCGAGATAATAAGGAAGAAAGTTATCAATTTAATAGTAGTTTTTAACAGGATAATAATTAGGGCTAATAAAAATGGCGGGTCCAGCGATTTGGATTCAACGACGCTTCCAAATGCATAATTATGAATGCAACGTCAATTTAGGTATTATTATACAATGACATATAAGATACCTAGACCGACGATTCATTCATTAAAATGCATTTTTAAGCATCGTTAAAAGCAAATCAGCTGGACTCGCCATTTTGTAACCTATATAGTAATTATTCTCATATTAAAAACTAGTATTCAATTGATAACTTGCTTCCTTTATTATCTCGATCAGCCGGTAATTATTTAATAATGTTTGCATCACAGATATAGTAATAAATTACGCTCTCGTTTAAAATTTTAATAATGATTAGTGTAACCAAGATGGCGTCTCCAGCTGATTTGCATCGATGTACACTTTCAATGAATGAATCGTCAGTCTAGGTATATTATATGTCATTGGTTCCACCATTTTCTTCGGCAATTTTTTCTTTTTTTTTGTAAAAGGTGCAAAAAAGTGCGCCTCTTGTCATGCGCAATATCGTTATAATATACTTGGATAGACTCAGGATTCATTCATTAAAAAAAATGCATTCCAAAGGAGTCGTTGAATGTAAATCATCTGATGACACGTCATTTTTATTTCCCGTATAAAAAAATTTCACAAATGTGTCACCAGCTGATTTGCATTACTTTTGAATGAAGGAAATAGTCAATCTAGAGTGTATGGTACTATATGTCACCGGACATGAGTGCCGTCAATGATTGGTATTAGAAATGTGTCAAAATTGTTTTTTTTCGAAGGGAATCGATCCTTATTTTCAATTACCCGCTATCCTTTTATTCACAGTTAGCGCGAACTAGAGTGGAAATATACAAAATATGCGACATTTTTTGTATTCTTCGCCGCGAATACGTTAATAACTGTGAATGCGCGATAGATACGTTACAGGGTCTAATAAATATAAAAAATATAACTCTCTCATTACGTAGAATCGTAATTTAACTGCCCGAATTTAATAAAGACATGGCCGGGTTGGGTATCGTATCTTGGAACAGGCAGGTAGATATCTTCTATATATTTTAACAAACAAAAATAAGGAAGGCCTGAAGCGGTCAAGTGTTTGTGGTTTTTTTTAAAAAATATTTAAATGCAAATTCGAACCAGCTGACCCAAAATGAAATAAATGGGTATATAAAGGAGATCTTTCAATTATCGCGAAATAAGGGGTCGGAGGCCAGAATCTCTAAAAGTACGACCTGGGCCTAAATCTCGATAGAATAACGTCGCCGAGTCCGGGTCCTTAAAATAATCGAATTTGCAGGGCTCTAAGCGGGGCTGAGCTCGGACTTCTATAATGTCGATTTGATTTAAAAAACCTACACAAGGATTTGAAGGTTTCAGCCAGTTCGCTGTAGAGTCATCTGGCTTCAAACATTTTATAAGATCGATGACTAATTATTAAGCGTTGATACTTGCCTACTAGAGGTCAAGTAAATATAATTTCAAACGCTGACAACTTGGAATCAACCCATTTATACTTTAACACGAAAGCGATAGCGTTTTAACGAGACGCGACACCCAAGATGTAAAACAATTAGCATCTCACAAGAGTTCACCCGATATAGGATCCAAATCAACGCTGCAAAAAAAGTGTGAAAATAACCTAACTACTTTGAAACCTGACTGGTGTTGTTAAGCTGGCCGATTAAGATTTTAGCCAAAATAATACTATGCAAGCCTGAAGATTTTGCTCACAGATGGTAGAAAGGTTTGGACCTCTATTAGCCAAATCTCGAGGCTTATATAACATTAATAAATTGATAAAACCTCCATTATTTACAATGAATTCATTATTATAGCATTATTAGCTCGCTGAAATATTTAAACCTTTTAAATTACATTTAAGAGGATAGCAGAAAGTTTTATTTGGAAAACAATGTGTATGATTGTTTGCAATATATAGATTTGGTCGATGAATTGTATTATAATAGTTCTATAATAAAAGTATTAATTTTTACAGCAATAAATTTTGTTCCATTTCATCTCAAAATTTAATAGATAACCCCTCAAAACATTTATCCTACCCTCATTAAAGCCTACCCCCTACCCCCCCCCCCCTTTAAAAAATAGGATGCAGACTGTTCCTACCCCTCCCGCTCATGTAGACGCTGTACACAAGGTTATTAATAATATATTAATTTTGAATTTTATATTAATACTTTATAGAATAATCTATATTTTTCTCATTTTCCAAAGAAATTTCGCTATCTTCAACAATCTCACACATTTTTAATAACTAGATTTATAATGCTAATTACATTTATAATGTATATTTTTAAATATAAATTTCAATATTAAATTAAATGTAGCGAGCTACCACTATCGCTATTTTCTAGAAAAAGTAACCAGCTAAAGCTACCGCTATTGAAAAAAGTAGCGCGCTATTTTAACAACACTGATAAAAACTTGATTTTCAGTCTAATTGGAGTCGTGACTAGCTAAGTTATTTAATAACAAAGTATAAGAGTTGTTCATGATTATCCATATTTTTTGAAACGTTAATTTTTTTTAAAAAAAGAAAGAAATAAATATAAAAAAAAGAAAGAAAGAAATAAATATAAAAAAAAGAAAGAAATAAATAAATATAAAAAAAAGAATGAAATAAATAAAAGAAAGATTCAAAAATAGCAAACCAAAACCTTTTACAAAAAATAAAAAATATTTGTAAAATTGATTTTGATATATAAATACAGAGATAAAAAAAACAATTAATTTCGCTTTTTTTTGGTTCATAACAAAATATCGAATTTCATTTTTTTACTTCTTCTTAAAAGTATACAGTTTTAAAATGCGACGTTTAGGGAGCAATTAACAACCTATCGAATAAATGTAATGTAAAATAAAAACCATTTTTCACGAATATTTTAACATTTAAATAATTTATGATCTTTTTTTATTTAAAAAAAAATATATATATATATATAATGTATATTTAAAAGAGTTGTTAATAGACCAACGCACATATACATATACGCATCATCCGTCGTATCGGTTTTGAAAGAGATAGCCTTGAATATTTATTATAATTTAATGTAATATTTCATATTACATTTCATTTTCCTTTAAAAAATCTTCTAAATGGTAATTAACATAATTATATATATCATGTTATGACAGGAGACGAGACAAATTTTTTTCTTCTCTACTTCCTCCGCCGCGTGAAACAAGGATAGATACGCGATCGTAACGGATCTGACTCATTGACGGGGCCAAGGCCCGCCATGATTTATATATATTTTTTTTCCAATTTACAATTTTTTATTTATTCTCTTCATTAATAAAAATTCAAATAGATATTATTATATAAGGCGCCATTTTTATTTTATTGTATCTCCAAAAATTGTGGTATAATAGGTAGAGTTTCCGGTTTCAGCTTTTAAATATTTTTCTATAAGTTAGAAGATTTTGACATTGCGAATTCTTTGCAACAACAACATCCACGTGACAAAATATCGCGTACGATCTTGTAATAGAGAGAAAACTCCATCTTTAGATTGAAACTGAGTTAGGGTAGAAAGTAGATTCCGCATAGAGATGATTAAAAGTCCCAACCGGACTGGAGGTATCCGGTCCCCCGCTTGAGAGGCGCTACATAAAAAAATCCGGGACCGGTCTGGAAAAATATCTTGCCCTAATTTCCCGGTCCAAATTTTTTTTTAATAGGTAAGCCCGCCGGGATTTATGGCCGTTACCAATCTATGGTCTACATATAACAACAAGAAAATTTAGTGACAGCTACATTCATAATTATACACCCACCCTCTTCCTTTACTTTTACGGTAAATAATATTTTGGGTGAAAATTGTTAGATAGTAAAAAAAATTAAGTGTGAAAGTTATTTGTGAATAGCGTGCCAAAGCGGGAGAAATCAAATCATCTTTAAGAATATTTAGGAAAACTTATAAATAATTTGATCCGTGAAGGGAGTTGTAAGGTGAAGGGGGGTGGAATATAAGATTGCGGGAAGCAGATAAATGTCATATAAGATTGCCTCATAAATGAATTTTTGGAAGTGAGCCGATACTGATCTTGATGGACAGATCCTATCCAACTCTACCGATATTGAATTGATATAGGTCGATCTCCGATATCAGCTGATCGCATTTACCACATTTCTTTCAAAGAAATTTTTTTTATATTTGCCATTTAGATTATTTGATCATCCAATTCAACGATTTAGGCAGATAACTAATATATCCTTAAGATCGGGATGAAACGATAAAAAAAGGATCAATGACATTAATACTTATAAGAATGACGTTTTATATTTATAAAGTGTACGTATACAAAAGTCAGCTGTAGCCAATGTCATTGGATGTATTTAGTAGATATTGAAAGATATTTAAAACAAGAAAAGGATGTTCTAGCTTCAAACGAGCTATAATAAAAGCATCGTATTCATTTTTTTTAGCATGAAACGGAAATTCTGCACCTTTCGTTGACGAGCATACATGGGCTTTCATCGTTATACTATATCTGAACCTCTTATACAAATTTTTATCTCAATTAATTGAATCAGCTGTTGCAAATATAAACAAATAAAACGCTGGATTGTTACTAGTTCTTTGACGAAAACTCATGCCCCCCCCCATCCCCATTATATCTAAAATATTTAGTAATATCCAGAAACGGTAATATATTAATTCACGCTGATTTTGTCGGTGTCGTTGAATGTAATCTATCCGAAGAGACGCCATCCGCTAGATAAAGACGCTCTTACTTAGATTTAAGGAAAAAGGAAGAGGGGTCCAACCCTCCGAATATTATAAACGCTAGCGAGAAAAAAAAATAGTAGCGTTGTTGTCCGCACGTATTTTGGCCGCTAGACGCAACAGGCCATAGTTTACGATTTCAAAAAAAAACCTGTTAGCGTACAGAGACATCGGCGACTATAAGTGTTTAAGTTTAGGTTAAGGATTAGTCGTTCATTTTTTGTTCTTAATTAATAGTATGTTATAAATATGACAGTTTTTTTTGACTGATTTTTGAATTCCAAATATCTTTATTTTTTTCCAATCTGACAAAAAAACAGCTGTGTCACTCACGGCATAAGAGACCATTCAGTTAAACGGTTTATAATTTATTCTTAATAATAAATGTTTTAAGTAGGCACTAACTCACACTTCAGATATTCGGGAAAAATAAAATTCGGCAAAAAATGAAAACGTTTTTTATAATCCGCGTGGATTGCACGGATACAAAAATATAGAGATGTAATATTATATAATAAAAGAGACTATTTATATTTTTCTATTATAATCATCATTTAAAAAAATTTATAAGAAAATATATTTACTTTTTACTGTTTCTTTGCATAGCCAAGCGATCGAATTTTGCTTAATCTTTTCTTTCCTGAAGGAAGAGAGGGGAGAGGGGGTGTGGGAGGAATGAGATTAAATAAAGAATATATTCGTTGATATCGCCAAAAATAAAAGGAATTTATAAGAATGGAATCGCCAGCAATTTGGAATGATATGGATGAGATAGTGAGAGTAATGCCATAAAATTTACGGTATTATTATTGTTGTTGTTGTCATTTGAAACGTTATTTTAACGCATATTTTATTTTCGTTCTCATAAAAAAATCTAAAATAAGTCGGTTTCTAATAGTTCTCGTAAAGAATATAGAATAGCGCCGGTTAGCGATGTGACCTTTTTGGAATACAATTTTTAATTCTTCATTTTTTTTTGATTTTGAAAATAAAATATTAAATTAAATTCCATAAAAATAAATAAATAATATAATTTTAAATACTTATTTAATTTTAAATTGTCAACCCAACAAAACCCTCAAATCAAACAATAAAAAATAATTTTTAATCACAAATAAAATCTTTCCAATATATGGTTCATTAATGACCATCATTTTGTTTTCTCTCATTAGAAAAAAATAAAATAAAATGGATAAATATTTTATAAATTTTTTTTGCTAAAAAGTAAATCGATAAATATAAAATAATTTCATGCCTTGTCAGATTAACAAGCCAAGAGAGAAGCGGGAAAAAAATATATGTATGCAATAATAAGTGGAAGGAAAATATGAAAAAGATTTTTCGAAAAAAGTTCACAGTCTAAAAATTTATATATATATTTTTTTTTGTCGTTATCTGATATCTCAAAATTTTTGGCAAAATCGATTTTAACAAAAAATATAATATAAATATAAAATATAAATTGTCAAAGTTGTTAGTTAAAATTCATCTAAAATAAAAAATAATTTAATTTTTAAAAAAAATTAATTGATGTAATATAATACCGCTGGATTGGCTTTTTTGTTAATTAAATATGTACGCATACATAGGAGTAAGCTGTAGCGCCATTTTGTGGTTTTCACGTTAACTAGGCTTCTTATCGATCATCATATCAGTGCACTGATCGACGTGCAAACCATAAAATGGCGTTACAGCTGACTTTTAAATGTGTACACTTTTAAATGCAGTTGATACATAAATGGTCAATCCGGTAGCTGGCATGTAACAAATGAAGAGGCATTTTAATCTAATAAAAATACCCCCTACCCCTCCCCCTCACACCCCAAAAATGTATACAATTTATCATTATAATAGCCAAAGGCCTACAATAAGTGGAAAAGATCTCCAATAAAATTTACGGGGGAAAAATTCATCTAATAGTACTTTCCACCCTCTTAGCAAAATCCTGGATACGCCTATGTCCGGTAGTATATGCACAACATTGTCAAGCGCGTAGATTTTTTATATCTTTCGAATATTCTCTTAAGATCCCGAGGTTCCTGGAAATTTTAGAAAAAGAGATTCTGTTCTGGTTTTTTTAGATTTTACTTTCTGGATCCAAACCCGGATTATCCCGCCACGCATTTACACCATTTAGAGTAACCTTTATGCGAGGCGCGCATTCTAAATTCAATTATTTATTTATTTTAAAAAAACTGTCCTAATAATAAAACCAACTAAAAAAATTTTTTGCAGGGTTATGATGACAAATAAAAAATCGGATAAACCTAGTTTCCAGCCAATAAACTATCAGGTAACCTCGGTGGTTTTTTTTTACAAGAAGATAGCAGATAAAATTTGAAAGAAACTATTATAGATTTAAGAAAACGCCTTAATGTTAACGGATTTTCTCCGGCACACGCCTCAGATTGGGCCAAATAAGCCGACATTTTAGCCATCATCCAACTATACTAAAAACTGGATAAATATATACATTTTACACATTACAATATTTATATGGCGATAATGAGCTTAGGTATTTTATTTATGAATATAGAAAATGCTTATACAAAAAAAATAAAGATTTTTTGAAATTTTTAAAAAAATCTATAGCTCAAAGTTTCATATTATAAAATAAATTATTATTTTAATTAATACATAAAGTTTTACAACTTTGTGATATAAAAAAATAATACTAGTATGGAAATTTTTTTTTTCCCCCCATTTGCATTATATCAAAAAAAGCCTTCCTAATAAATATTCTGTCCATAATACTGTTGTGTGTGTATGTAATATTGAGAATAATTAATACGAAAAGGTTATAATCCCGCAAAAAAATACAATATTATTATGTCCTCTGATTAAATTAGAGCTATATATATATAAATGAATGTTTCAAATGGACGCTACTCGTATGAGCTAATTAGATAATATTTCATTTTATGTATTATTTTTGGGATCATAATTTGAAGGTGATTACTCCCCTTCCCCCCATTTAAATCATTTTTCTTCTCGAAATTGCGATGATTTATGAGATACGCTTGAGTATTAGAGTGCTCTATCTGAATTACAAAACTTGTTTTCAGCTAAATATAGAAAAGAAAGGTTTTAATAATGAATTACATATTTTTTAAAATTGACTGGATAGTTAACATTCCCATTCTTAGGCAAGATCCTTTTGTCGAAAATAAATAGTAACATAAATGACGTGCATTACCTGGCGGGCCCAAAAAATCTTTTAAAAAAATCGGTCAGGACCGTACCGGTAGAAAAATGGCGTATGATTAATATCCCGAAATCAAGTCCCACGAAAAATAATGGTTATTTACATTGAGGTTATATATTTTCCATTTTGGGCATGCCTTTGAAGGAATTGAATAGTTTAATATTCGTAATTATTACCGATCAAATAAGAATATCATATTATATTATTCGTAACCGATACGAATAGTAAATTATTCGACTGGTTAAAGAATTGAATACGGATAATTCGGTATTCGGTTTGTATTAGTTTTTTGAATAAGGTCTAAAAATGGTTATTAGAAGAAATTTAAAATTTCATGGACATATATATATTCGAAAAAAAATTATAAAATTAATAAAACGCTTATAACCATAAATAATTTTAATTTAAAAGATAACATTATTCTAGGCTGACATAAAAAGGAAAAAAATAAATATATATATATATATAGGTTATTATTTGGTATATCTTAAGATAATATTTGAAGGAAGAAAACAAAAATTAGTAATTATTTCCAATAAGAATATCTATTATTTCTTTCTTCGCGTTCATTTTTTTTGGTTTAAATTTTTTTTTTTTAAAAAAAACGTCTAAATCAATATTTTAGTCAAAAACAAAATTCGCCCAAGCCTCGAGATTTCGCTAATAGATGTCCAAACCGTTGTGCCAACTAAAAGCAAATTTTTTTCTGGATAAAATATTGAATTCACCGGTTTTTTAAAAAAAATTAATGTAATCGCCAAATTTTGAGTCAGAACATCATTTTGACTAAAAAGAAATTGTCATCGAGAGACGGGCCCCGAGAAATTGATTTTGCAGGTATCTCAGATATATGCAACACAAATAGAATTTATTAATATTTTTTTTAAAAAATAATTGCTACCGCGCAATTTTAGTGTTGATAAACGGCTCGATTTATGTAGATTTTCAAAAACGGCTAACTCAATATTTTAGCCCGAAAAATATGGTCTAAGCCTCGAGATTTCTCTAATAGATGTTCAAACCTTTGTGGCCACCCTATGATCAAAATCCGAAGTTTTGCATAATATTTTTTCATAATAAAATATTGAGTTCGTTTAACAACACTACGCAATTTATCTAAATAAATATATATAAAAAATTAGTCCGAAAGTGTCAATATTTGTAATATTATAAACGAAATTTTTGGACTTTACACTTATTTATAATAGTATAATTAAATCTATATAATAATAACCTTTTATTATTTTTTTGGTGTATTATATTAAAAATTATAACTGTAAAAATGAATATTTATACTTGTTAAAATAAAATATAATAAGTTAAAAAGAGAAAAAGTATTTGAGAGAACATGTTATTAAAAATTTCTCGTCTTACTATTATGTTTATATTGTATATTATAAATGTATAAAATATTAACTGAATTTTGACAATTTCATAAAAAATATATATATATAATTATTTTTTTTATAACTCGTTTTATTTTGTTGCTTATTTTTTTTCTTCCTTTTTTTCTTATCTAGTCAAAAAAATCTCGACTCTTAAATATTTGACATTATGTCAAATATTAAGAGAAAAGGGGATAAGAAAAAAATGAAGATTATTATACATCATGTATAAATAATAGTTCTTTAAAAAAACATTTTTTTAAATAAGATTATAAAATAATAAAATTTAAGCTCATCTTAAAAGGGATATAAATATATATTTTTTTAAAAACAGCTGTAATCCCATCTTCAGCGATTAAGAGAAGATTTCAGCGGTACGAGAATTACTGAATCCTGAATAGAGGTCACACTGCCCGAGTCTTGGGTCGGTTTGGGACATTGAAAAAAATTTGCTCAGATCGGGTTGTAAAATGTGTCCGACCCTAGACCCAATATCTTTAATAATACAAAATATAATTTTGTTTCACAATGTCAATTTAGAATAACTGATGTTCATTATTATATTTTTTTAGAAATTTTTTTTTCTCTATATAAACAAATATATCCTCTTTTGACATCAACCATTCAAATTATTTTTACATAATCACAATAATTTTTAAATATTCGTTTGTATTTTTTAACTTAACTTTATATATTTAACTGAATAAAATTTATGTGCATATCAGAGACCTGCAGGCCCGGCCCTAAGCCGTGTACACGGGCCGGGCCGTATTTTAATTTTTTTATATATACCCGGGCCGGGCTTGAAAATTTTTTAAAAAAAAATATCCGATGCAAGACATTTATATTAAGTGGAACGGCTGTATCAGAGGTGTCAAGTAGAATGTTGAAGATATGAAGCGAGCCTCATTCAAAATTGTATAGAAATAACTTGCTCGAGAAAGTGGGAGGGGGGGGGGCGTTCTTTATTTGGATGGCGAAGCTAATTATGCAGCTGTGAAGACAGGATTAGGATGGATGGATGTTCAAAAAAAAGGTTTAGAGAGTTATCACTTATTTTAGTTCATAGAAAAGGAGAATAGAATGATGATGATGTAAATTGCTACAATTACTAATGGTAAGACATTAAAATACGAATATAAAAAAATAGTAGTGTTAGAGCACAAATTCCTTATGCAATTATGTTTACTTTAGTTTCCCGTAATTTTCAGAAAATTCGTGTCAATTTTTATGGAAAAACATATGTTCTCCATAAATACGTCAACGATCGTCGAATTGTTTAAACTTTTGGATACACTATATTTACCCGATAAAAATTTGGTAATGATTATTATGCCAAAATAAATGATTTAAAGTGCAATCCTTAGGGGAACA